ATATATATATATATATATATATATATACTGTGTGTATATACTGTATATGTGTGTGTGTGTGCGTGTGATTTAGGAAGGTACAATAATATTGGTAGAATATATGCCAGTGAGTATTGTTAGATTATCTGTCCGTGTGTGTTGCTCCACTGTTGATGTTAAAATATGTGTTGTGTCAAGGGTTGGAACATGGCAACTATCAATGCCAATCATTAGCCCATTTAAACAGTTTTCCATTATGTGTTAGCATTAAGCTAACGCGGGCATTCATATGGCAAAGTTGTTCTGTTGTTTAAAATACAGGTTTAATGCTCTGTTGTATGTTAAGTTTGAGGGGGAACTTTAACTTGAAGTGGCAAAAATAGCTAGAAGCCTCTATTTTTTTCAAGAATTGTTCACTACCTGCCAAATTGCCGCTTATTGTGAAGTCGGCTGAGTGTGCTGTCACCATTGCACTCATATCTCAAGTTTGCAACTGCTACTACTCTTAGTGCTGCTACTATACCTCACAAAGCAAAGAAGCAATATGGTGAACCAACAAGAGTGTCTGTGCAACAGACTAAACCTGCGTGCGAGCACTGCTAACACACACGCACAAACAGGAAGCATGGCAGCTCATTTCCTCCCCTTATTGAATTGGGACAGAGGTGCGGATGCAGCAAGGGATGAGGAAGATGGCTTGGGTTTAGGATGAGCACTAATGGACGAAGCCGTATCGTTTGGTAAATGCAATGAATATATGTGCCTCCTGCAAAGAACAACTGCCTTAAGTTACATAACAACCATGTAGTTAACATTGTCATTTCATATCACTGACCATCACTTAGAACAAACAGTCATCCATAATAAGTGGGTAAGGATGGACACAGCCGCTAGTGCACTTGAAATGGGTTTATTGAACAAACATTAAGAAAACAAAATAAAGACAATCACATTTTCCTCCGAACTTCTGACCGCCTCAAGGGATGCAGTCATTCTAACCACACAGCAGAGTCTGACATTAAGCCTTTTTGGGTGGTGGGTCTGCCACAGCTGACACTAACTCAGATTTAAAATCATACTTAATGAAATTATCAATTTTAAATGTTGGCCTACAAATACCTGGTGTCAGTGGCCAATTGAAACAGCTTCTTAAAAAAAATATATATATACTCGCCATTCCCCAGTATATAGATCTTCTGATTCAAAACAATATTGAACAAAATAATTACATATGTAGGCCTACATTTGGGTGAAATATTGACGAGTGTAGACTTAGTGGCCAAAATGCACATGAGGATGTAGCACACAATGCATCTGTGAATGGGGACCATCAAATGTGCACAGAGGGGGTAAAACAACAACTATTATTGATCAATTTAAGTGGATAAAACTAAAAATTTTGAAAGTCCACATTAAAAACACAAGAACATGTTGATTTCATCACATTTGCTTATAAAATGTGTACTGGGGGCGAGGTCGGGTCAGCATCAGTGGATTTCATTTGGCTCCGAACCATTGGGCCACTGTTAATGTTGGACCCTGCTCGCTTTAGCTCTTTAGCAGTTGGCCAACGAGACATCGTCATTTGCTCACTTCCAAATCACTCAAGAGGCCAGGCCCACCCGCGTGTGCGCGCGCACGCACGCAGGCACACTGTCACCCGCACACACACACACACACGCACACACACACACGCACACACACACACACACACACACACACACACACTCACATGCACACAATCATGTCATAGTGACTACTGTGTAGAAAGTGAAGATCGTGACACCACATGGACAAAAAGAAGCTCTGCAACTCACAAGCTGCAAATAATCTAATAAATATATGGCTTGCTATGCAGTCGTCTGCATTGCCCTTTGAGTCAAATACTTGTATTAGCTGTAAAACAATGTGATGGTCTTCTTAGCTCAATATGCTAACATTAGGCTACTAACAAGGTTCACTAAGTGGTTTTGCAATGTTTGTGTGGGCCCTCATGCTTGAATGATTAAAAGTATAAATTCTGTAGTTTTACACAAAAGATTATATATGGATGTGTGTGTGTGTGTGTGTGTGTGTGTGTGTGTGTGTGTGTGTGTGTGTGTGTGTGTCTTCACTCACAGTGTTGCTGCTGTTGTGTTCTCGCTTCCACTCATGGATGTCCATGGCATCCGACGGCAAGCCCTGGATAGTCTCATTCGCTAAGGAACACGAGGAGACGGGATCAGAAGAGAGTCACCTTTATGATATGTGTATATATCGATATCAAATTATGTAAACAAATGTTTATTTTTAGTCCATTATTATTCATGATTTGTGAATGAGAATGTAGAGTCAGCTGGCTATTAACTGGCTAACCCATTACCCAGTTTGTGTGTTGTGAGACTGTTTGTGTCAGGTTTGGCTGTGCAGCAAGCCTATGAATGTGGTTCTTACATGTTTATTTTCTTCCCGTTTGTTCAATAAAGACATTGAAAGTGCACCAGCAGCCATGTCTTTGCTTGGGATTACACTCTGTTGTAACTAGCAGTTGTAGGCTAGATGAAATTTTCAATTACTTTACCATAGGCGTGCAGTTGTGCACAGCAGTTTTGTTTTGCAGCAGACATGTTGGACTTTGACTTCTTTTTAAAAGTGTCAAATCAACCCAAACCTTCGACTTTGTCTTTACGCACTCTTTCCTCCTGCCTTGCATTTTTTGCTCTGCAGTAACAATCCAAAAAATTAGATTTGTACAATTTTAAAATCTGTGATTCAGTGAGACTGCAAATAGTGAACTGCAATAAGGCAAGGTATGACTGTATACATATACTGTATATACACACACCTCTCTCTCTCTCTCTCTCTCTCTCTCTCTCTCTCTCTCTGTCCCTCTCTCTCTCAATACACACACACACTCACACACACACACACACACACACACACACACACACACACACACACACACACACACACACACACACTAACACGGTTATTTAAGTGGCTCTATTCCATGCTGATTAATGGCATTTAATAATTCACCACTGAACTTTAACAGAAGTCATCATCACTGTAGAATGTGTGTGTGTGTGTGTGTGTACACAATCTTGTTAATTGCCTTGCTCCCCTACTAGGGTCCCCATACACAAGCGCCTGCACGCACACGCATGCAAGCAGATTTGTGTCATGTTTGTATGCTTGTGCTTTGTGAAATCATGCGGCAGTCCTGTCTGTGTGACTGAACCCCACCCCTCCCCTTCTAAATCCAGGCATGCTTCCTGGCCAGTGTTCTTTGTGTGAAGCTGTTAATGAGGTGGCTAGCTTAACGAGGGTCTGGCTGTGCACCATTCGGGGGAGGCTGAGGAGGATGGGGGGGGGGGGCAAATTGCATTGTAAGCAAAGAGGACACCATAAAGCACAGAACAACGTGTCACATACTGCATTAAAAACATTGAGCTCTCTGGATGATTGCATGTAGAAAGCGAAGATTTGATGATTGAACAAGCTGTAATGCAGTGGAGTGAATTTTTCAATGCATTTTCTTTCAATGTGAATGTAAGATTATGTGGGACTATTCTACAATTATCTATATACAGCTGAGGTCTCATTCGGGTGACTGAAGCTCCCCTAAAATGTTCTTAAACCTCCCGTAAATGATTTGGATACATTTTTGCTGCATTTATATTTTTTAATTATCCTAATTTATTGATTTCTTTTTTTTAAGTACCACATGTTCAATATAAAGTTGCCCGAAAATAATTTTAAATACATATACACTTAATGCATACCGGTCATTATTTTCTTCAACATGAAAATAAATCTGTGGGTTTCCCTTTTCTTCAGGGCGCCCCTTGCTGTGCATCTCTGTTAAATGCAATCATATTCTGAAGTATCTATGTATTCTAGATCTACATCCACGTACCATATAACTTCTATCTATCAATCTGAGAACCATCTATCACTATGGCATCAATTCCATTAGCTATGTATTCTTGATTTTTGATAAAAGTGCACGTGTGCGCGCATGTGCGTGTGTGTATGTGCATGTACGTGTACGTGGGTCTTTACCTTCGGAGCAGTGTCCGCGGGCGTGCATCCTATTCTGACACTCAGTACAGCTCATCAGGAAGCGTGTCACTGCCTCTCGGGGCAGGAAGGCGTACGTCTTTGCTATCTGTGTTGAAGTGAAAAAAAAAAACGGCAAGTAAAAACATTTAATGTAGCAAATCTAACAATATTGAGGCTACTGTGCTTGTAAGAATTTGAAAAATAACACTAGTCCACAATATTTTTTTTACATTTTTTTTTTATTTTTTATCAGAGATGGAAGTAAAATTTTCTGATTCTGAATCTGCCTCATTTTGTCTCAAGAACATCAGATTATCATGATAACAATATATTAAAATAAATTGTAACACTAATAAATGTCATCAAATTTATGAATTAAAGGTCACTTTCATCAGCTGGTGCAATTTTTTTCTGAAACATCATGACAATGTTTAAATCACCCACAAAAATAAGTTTAGCAACACATCAACCCATCTATGATTCAAATTTGCCTTTGACCAACAATTAAAAGTTGAAGGCGGAGCAGCAAGATGCAAGTGTGGTTAGCACACAATTTGGATCTTTGGAGTTTGAATCTCAGCCGAGTGGCTCGGCTGGCAACCAGTTCATTATTTGTACACACATGCCCAGATATTAACTGGTGACCAGTCCAGGGTATAGCGCTTAGCTATCAGTCAGGTGACTTAGGCTCCAGCTCATCCCTCAACCTAGTGAGAATATGTGGACAATAAAATTTGATAGACGGAAAATGTTGCCTGTGAGACCAAGGAAAGAAAACGACATGTTTTTTTTGTGGCGCCTCCATGAGGCCAGCGAAGGACAGTGCCAGTACCTTTGTCTTCTCACTGCTTTAAACATTTAACATCTTCAGAATCACCATCAGAATAAGAATTGAAATTGGTTTAGCAATGTGTTTGTTGCATGCGCCACATGCACAGATCCTCACACCAATTGGAAAGCGTACAAACTGTTGATCATGAAGTGCTGCCTCCACAAGTGAAAATGCTTTTATTGACATTAACGGAGCTTGTTTTTTTTCCACACTCTGGGTTACACTTCCACAAGTAAAAACGAATTTCTTCATTCAAACCCCCTAGCTCCATCTCCAGTTGTCATGCTAATGAAAGCCATCGTCACCATTTGCATGAGACTGGAGCGTCTAGGGTTGAAAATATGGAGGGTGCTCTCTCTATTTTTCATGAAAGTGTGCTTATGACAAAACAACATACAGTATTTCTATGAACACTGTAGATGAAAATAATACGTTCCCGTTAAATTATCCTCAATTCCCCGAACATCCATAGAATATTTGCAATATTTCCAAAATTCTCCATCTTAACTTGAATATAAACGGCGCAGCAACACATGTAGATAGAAAATATAACTGTACTCAGTCATGTATATTCTATTCTCTGAAGAACGACTAATATTAGTGCCTTACAGATGAGGTGAGAGAAGCTAAGCTGTCTCATTTATCAGTCTTACACTACCCCCAAGTGGCCAAGGCAGGCACACCAGAGAGAACAGCACTATCGCCATTTAATTGATGCAGTGGAAAAGATGATTCGAGATTGGAGTGTTTTGAGTTATCCTTTTCTCAAAGTACCGCTGTAACTAGAAAGCGAAAAGAAAGAGCATTTACGGCTTTGTAGGTCTTCTTCTGGCCGACGTGCCAAAGAAGTTTGCCCGGTTGTTTGACCTCTTTCACGTGCATAGTGTAGATGATGTCGTAGAAATCCTCCACCACCGCCACTTGCTTCAGGGACACCGCATCCGCACTCTGGACGTGTAGCATATATCCCAGCCAATGCAAAAAAAACAAACCATAGTTAAAACAGTTTGTAGCATTCAAATTATAGTTTTCAATAAAGCTTTATGCTAAATGGTAATGCCCGAAGTTGTAGACTTCAGTAACATATTGTCTCAAGTCTGTCTCAGGTTGCCTATTTTAGGACTTGTATTGGTTCAAATCTATGAAAGACTTAACTTCACTCATGGCTTTTTTAACACAAATAAATCATGTTTCTCGAACGTGCTTGATATTTTGTTGATGTTATTTTTTTCAGTTTTAGTTCTAGTTACTTTTCATTTACTATAATAAGAACCTTGCATGGGACTTGAAAATGAATACAGGTAGTATTTGATTTTCAGTTGCATATGATTAAAATGTGCTAAACAAATGCCTAACATTTGTTTTTTAAGAAAACATGGACAAATAAATCGGTTTACCACATTTTGATTCTGTGCAACTTTAGTACATGTTATAGAATTAAGTAAATCCAAAGGATCTCTTTTTTCAGTGTTGCAACTTGAATTTCAAGACCAAAGTCTCACTAATGACTTGCGCATATGTGACTTAGAGCCACTTCTGTGAAACGTAAAGAAAAAGATGTGTTGAAAATATTTGTGGCGTTCAAAATCTTGTTCAGGCAAATGTTTCCAATACTGTACTTAGTTAGTGTTAATGTTTCCAATACTGTACTTCAGCGCCACCAATGCCTGAAGATGATCTCCGAGCTGGCAGACTCTCTGGTGCATTCATGGGCACATTTATTAGATGTCACTATTATTGTAGAAAGAATTGAAAACATGTTTTGCGTCATTTCATCCATTCTAAATATGACCTGTTGCTTTATGCTAATTAAATGCTTGTTTTCAAAACAACAGCCTTTTAATCTAATTAGTCTGTGAAGGAAAAATCACCTCATAAAACATAATGACTTGTACATTTTTTAATTTATTTTTTAAATGGGAAGAATGCTTTTGAAGTACAGTATAACATTTGTAATTTCACATTATTCATCCCCCAAAAACATTTTTTACATGTTCACAGTAAAATTCCTAAATTACATGAATTTAAAAAAAACATTTAAAACTTAAACTGTTAAAACATTAAATAATGAATTATGTACCAAAATAAATTGCTCATAGCTATTTGTGATGCAAAAGACTAGTTCGGACATCGTGTAGCTTTACAGAACAACATAAAAGAAATACATTGATAGATTATTGAAATATTTATTTGAAATAGAAATTAAATCGGGCAATAAAATACTGTAGACAATCCTAACACCATTGTCAATCCCATTGAGACTCTTCTATGATTAAGGGCTATATAAATACATTTCACTTAATTTGGTTTTAAACTAAAAATGTTAACACACACACAGGGTGCATGAAGTGAATGGAAAGAGGAAGCAGAGCCACAAACCGTCGTCTTGACCGGCACGAGCAGGACTTTGGCGTCAGCGCGGCCGGTGCCGCCGGCCGCCCGCAGCGTTCCGACCTGAAAGCCTTTGGACTTGATCCACACCTTGAACTTGGCGTTCTTGTGCTGCTGCTGCTTGTGGTCGTCGTGCAGCAGAGCCTGTAAGATGTTGTCGTACTTGCGCCGCGTCACCGTCTTCGTTTTGCCGGAATCCGCATACGTCCGCAGGCACCACTGCCGGAACGTTCGGCCCCTGTCCTGATCGTTATCCTGCTCCAGGTTCTGCGACGTGTGGCTCGTTGACATGACTGGACTGAAGCACGCGCACCTTACTGACTTCTCTTTTAAAGTGGGGAAACGAAGTGTGCTAAATAATGTGCGCGTGCATGCTGCAGGCGAACGACTTCTGCCCCGCAAGTGCAAGAAACAAAAAGACACCATCCAAACTTGGGTATGTCTGATACGAATAAATAATGTAGGTCCAAATACATATGTATAACATATATATGTACAGTATATAATAGATTTTCATCTCTTTTACTTGCAGCACAAACAAGGAAGCTAGGACTAGATCGAAACACAATAGCAACCTCTAACTATGAAGTTCTTCATAGTTTTAAACAATTAAATGAATCACAAATGAGTCATTCCAGAATTGGGGGGCATTTATGTCCCACCCATCAACTTTTAAATAATCCACATATAAAATAATAAAAAAGTGCAGTATTTTGAGTAAATGTACGAGTTGTGAGACCAAATCTTTACCAAACAAACAAAAAAAAAACAAACAAAAAAACGAAAAGAACGCTTGAGAATAGTTTTTAAAATACCAAATAAGTTGGACTACCCCCTACAATGCATTTTTTCTCTTGCCCTGCTAAAACCAAATTGAATCACAGTTAAAATGAAATGTAAATTTTTTAAAAATATTATTTATTTCATTACTGTCTCAGTCACATGATGCTAATAAGAATGCTGGCGCCCACATCAGCCAGCCGCCACCTGTTTTGAAGGACACTGCTCTCACTTCCTGTTCCTCCTCCATCTGCTTCTTCTGCTTCAACGGACTTGAAATTTACATGCCACCCTCCACTAGTTTACCCAATCAGAACGCTGATGCAAGACCATCCATTTTCTATATTGCATATAGACGAACGATCATTCACATTCACACCGACAGACAATTTTTAATCTGTCAATGAACAAATCCTCCCCCAGCATCGAACATGCAAAGTGGGTCAATGCAAACGGCCATGAGAATTCCTCACTAACAGAAATCAATCTGTATGTGTGAAAAACAACATCTCCAGCGTCATCTCCCTGAACAAGGGTGCTCCGCAAGGCTTTGTTATAAACCCCCTGCTGTTCATACTGATAACCCCTTGCCTGTAGTCCCATATACAGCTCCAATTACTTCCTGATGTTTGGGGATGACACAACTGTTGTGGGCCTCTTATTTTTTCTTCAATTAGGGTAAATTAATTAATCAGAAATACAATCTACATCAGGGGTGGCCAACCCACGGCTCGCGAGCCGCATGCGGCTCTTTGGCTGGTTCCATGCGGCTCCCCGACTTTCACACGACAATTGTACAATTGTCGAAAACGCCTCGGCGATTGCGCTGCCATTCAAACAACGGTGCTTAATACACAGAACGTACTACGTCAGCCTATCATCCATCCCGTTACTTGATTGACATAGAGGGCAACCAATCAGAGGACTGAATCCCCGCTCATGCACAGACAACGGTGCTAAATGCTAAGCTAGTCAGCAAATTACCTCTCTTTTTAGGGTAGGGATGCCCAATATGTCGATCGCAATCAACCAAGAGCCAGCAGACTGGTCCCAAGTGGAGGGGGGGGGTGGGGGGGGGGAAAGGGGGGGGGGGGGATTTGTGTGTTTGTGTCTTAAGGTTTTATTTCTGTTCGGGAGCTCCGGCTGTTGCTCGTCGTGGCGTGCATGCATATGTGCGCGAGTGCATGGTCGTGCGTCTGTGTGTGTGTGTGTGTGTGTGTGCGTGTGTGTGTGTGTGCGTGTGGCTCTTTGCAGTAACACAGTAAAAACATTGGCTCTTCGTTTCTGACTGGTTGGCCACCCCTGATCTACATTGTTAATGTACTCCATGTTTCTCTTTAAAAAATAAATAAATAAAAACTAGATGGCCACCAATTTTCTTCTTTTTTAACAGTAACGTGTAGATGCCACAGTGGGATTTTTGGAAAACATGACTTGGCAGGGTAACCCCAAACTTTTCAATGGAATTTTATTAATGTAAACAGATTTTTTTTAATGTATATTGTTGGGTACTCATTTTCGGCCACATTCCAAAAACCTGCATGGTACGTTAATTTTTCCGTACCTGTGAACGCGAGTGAGAACACTTATTTGTCTATTTGTGCCCTGTCATTGGCTGTCAACCAGTTGAAGGTGTAAACTGCCTTTCGCCCAAAATCAGATTGGATAGGCTCCAGCACACCCATTATTATCCAGATTATAGATGGATGGATGAATGTTCATTGTTTTTGTGGCACGTTTGAGACTAAAATGTGTCATGGCTTGTACAAAGTGGAAATTGTGCCCAAACACACAAGACATACATATGCATGCACACAAAAAGACGGAAGGCTATACAAGCAAACACACCCACTCAGCTAAACGAGTCCATGCTGGCTTTGGCTCTCTCCATTTCATGCAGGAAGTTGTAAAACTGGGGCAGTGTCAATTCTGAAATATCCAAAGAAAATTAATCAAACGTCAGTGCCATTTGAATAACCCACAATACACTTAGTTTGTTGTTATCCAGTTAAACCCCCCAACCCCCGCCCCTTAATCCTCTCCCCAAAAATGGCCACATGTTCTCAGCTTTCTCACAAGGAACAATTCCTTACCCATGTAGAGGTTTTCTGTGGTATTTCCCTTCTGGACAACCAGTTTGAGCTGCAAACAAGAAGACCAAGAAACCATTTGGCATAAACGCACAATGTCCAGCTACGCTATTTTTTGCTAATGCGAACGTTACAATGAAAACATGAGGTCTTGGTGCTATTTGGTCAGACTAATTTAAATGTGTCCAAAATAAAAAAAGCACACCTTATTATGCTCCAAGGTCAACAGTGTGTGCGTGTGTGTGTGTGTGTGTGTGTGTGTGTGTGTGTGTGTGTGTGTGTGTGTGTGTGTGTGTGTGTGTGTGTGTGTATTACCTGCAGAAAGATGTTGCTCATTTTTTGAATCTCGCTAGTACCGACAGTCACTGTGGAGTCACAAATGTTGTACATCAAAACACAAAACCTTTTTAACTGAAACGTTATTGATCAAAATATCAAGGCTTCAAATCAAACAATATATATATTTTTTAAGTTCAAACCTTCTAAGACAAACATTATATCACGCAAGTCTTTCTCATCCATTGCATAGTGTCTCTGATTTTGTCACTGAGACGGCATGGCTGTGATGAGAATCAACTACCAATACTTTATTACTGTACTTAAGTCGACTTTTCAGGCATGTGTACTTTATTTGATTATTTTTTCTGACAACTTATGACTTTTACACTCTACATTCAAAAACAGATATCTGTTCCACATTCTTGGCTTATTTAAGGGCTCCGAAGAATGATTTGTGACAAATGTCTTGTGTCTCGTGCCAATATAATAAGCACCAGTATTTGGCATTCAAAAAGTGCAATCTGAAAGAATACATACAAGTAAGGTGTAATTTTTTTCTGTTATCATTGGCATATTTTGCATTTTTAAAATCCTCTGTTCACAATGGCAGTAAAGCCATTGGACCTTTTTTTTTTTTTTTTTTTTTTAACATAATACAAACTGGATACAGCAGACCCCCGCTATTCATGGCGGGTAGGAACTGGACCAGCCTACAAATTGCAAAAAGCCACATTTAAGTGATGGCCATTGAATAAATAAAAATACATTTAAAAGTAAGGAATTCTTCAAAAAACACTGATAAGACATTTAGGTTGCGTTTTCCACGAAAAACGGTGGATGACAACAACAACAACAAAAATTAAAGAAAAAGATTGGAGAGGAAAAAAAAACCCAAGAGAAAATGCAGATTTGCGGATGCTGAACCGGAAGTATCCATGGGGCCTTGTCTTTATTTTATAACACCTATGTAAATAATTATAAAAATATTTTTTTAAAAAGGAGATATTGTAACTCTACAGAATAATTGTAATAATATTTATATTACTATAGTTAACATTACTATTATCATAATTCATCGCACCACCAAACTTCCATTCCATGTCCACCAGCCGGTTGACGGTCAGCGTCTGCCGCGTGGCCAGTCGGCTCAGCGTCGCACGATGTTCTGCCCACTGCAAGGTAGGACAGGCATTAGTGGGACTGGACCGACCCCCAGGGGAGGACTGCCTTCAAAATAGAAGAATATGTAACATCGCAGTATATTCATGTCAAGGAGAGAAACAGAGAGACCTGTTGTGAAAAGTGAACAGCCTTGTCCTCGTGAAGTCCTGCAGCAGCAAAAAAAAAAAACAAAAAAAAAAAACATAAGAATTTGAGTGTACAGCGGTGCCTTGAAGTACGCGTGAACCCCCTTATGAGCTGCAAGCAGTTTGTTGTCCTCGCTGAAGTTTACTGACGAACTAAATGTGATTGTTTTAACTTTCTTTGTTTTTGTAGATCTGTCTATCTATGACTAATATTGCACAATATTATTGAGTCACTTACAGTAGAAATACTATTCTTTGTTTGTGTGACTATTAAACCGCCACCCGGCAGCCGGGGAGGGTACACCAGAGGAAGCAGCACAATGAGATGGATTACAACATTAAATCATACAGACCTAAAGTCTGCAGATCTTCTTTCAGCTGCTCAGCCGTCAGGTTTCTCTTCATTGCACCTGAATAGAAAACAAACCTGTTTTTTTATTTTTTCACCATAAAATCATTTTATGCTTACGTGACATTTAAGTTAACATGGTATTGAATGAATATTAAGAACACAATTAAAAGGAAATAAAAGTTGTCACCTTCTGAAAATAAAGTAGTGTCTTTTCAAAATTAAACACATAATATTAAGGAGAACAAAGGGTTAGTCAAATATTTTCCAAGATAAAAAGTGGTCAATTTTCAAGACTGGAGTCACAAAAATATGAAAACAAAGTACCGGTAGTCTGTTTTTAAGAAAAAAGTAGTGTACTTTTGCGATTAAAAGGTTGTGTATGTTTCTTACATTTAAGTTGTAATATTATGACAATGGTTATGTATTTTCGGTGGGAAAGTCGTATGATTTCAAGATTAAAGTCATAACATTATAATATGCATCCGTGTGTGTGCGTGTGTGTGTGTGTGTGTGTGTGTGTGTGTGTGTGTGTGTGTGTGTCAAGGTCACCCTGTGGCACAAGAATGACACTCTTCATGAGGTTCTTGAGCGGTCCTGTGCTCATTCTATGTTCACTTGCAAAGTCACTCAGCTGCTGCATCAACTTCTCTGTCTATACACACACGTACATATGCACAAATTCAATTAACTCGTCCCCTTATATTATGTAATAATATTCTCCAATTATTATACACGTGTAGAATATTATTAAGCAAACGTATCTGCTCGATGGGCTAACATGCTTATCTTCGGGCTTTTATTACTCTCTTCAATATGATGCTGTGAGTTAAAATCCTTCTCGTACTTTCACTATTCAGGTTCCTATGCGGGCTCCCTCTAGCGGTACTCAGTGCGAGTGGTACTTATGAAAGTTGTTAGCAATGAACTCATGAAACGATCGCTTCTCAAAATGTTTTCTTACAAACCCAAGGACGTGGGGGTTTGTTCCCCCAAAATGTTCTGTTGTTATGTTTTAAGGATACCAACATTTTGACTTCGATCCAATACCTGCATAAAGTACCTCGAGAACGGTACTGAAATGTTTGAGAACCACTGTATTATACTCTTAGCATCTTCGTGCCTTTTGAAAGGTACAAAATAAAACATAATAACGTGCACATAGTGGATATTATTAACGTAAGTCTAACTACATTTCCCCTTACGATCCTTCGACGATATTTCTGTCAAACACAGCAAATCATGTAGTCATTTGGTTGTGTGTGTTTACCTCTTTAGGCTCTAACAAAAACTGGAAGAGGATTTCCACCAGACGAAGAAATTGCTGTAAATTAACAAAAGTTTGTGACGAATTGATCATTGCTCGACAAGCAGTGAAAGGATGTCTTGTGATTTTATGTCATCCGTTAAACCTTTGGCAAAATTAGCCGGATGTCCACAAAAATTTCGCTCGGTTTACCTGCTCGTTGAATTTGTTGAGAGTGTGGAAGTCGCCGCTGACAGAATGCGGTAAAGCATCGTTAGTGCAGTGAAGCTGCATTTTTAAAAACAATGTTTTTTTTTAACTTCGCCGCAAACCCGGAAAAGACTGAATAAGCTTTTCATATCCACTTCCGGGTTAGGCCTGTCGGATTTAGAAAATAAATATATCCTTGTGCTTACATTGTACGTCAACATCGTTGCCATCTTCAATGTGTCAAAGTACTCTTAAACCGTCATATTTTAAAGCTTTGGAGGGGGAAAATATCAGACCAAATGACATTCTTGGATTTCGATTTTTGGAGTCATCTTGTCAGTAGTTTATAGAAAAAAAATAACATGTTTATTTTACTCCCAAAACATAAACAGCAAAATCTGACAAATTGGTGATTCTCCCATTTTTACAATATTGTGTTTAGGTTTGGGGAGACAATTGCAAGAGCTCATAACAATCATCAATTTCGTTACAAAAAAGAGAAATAAGGACCATTCGCAAAGTAGGATATTTGGAACCACCCCCCCTCCTTTTTTTTTTAATCCATCCATCCATTTTCCAATGTGTTTATCCTTACCAGGGTCGGGCGTCCTGGAGCCTATCCCAGCTCTTTTCGGGCAGCAGGTGGGGTACACCCTGAATTGGTTGCCAGCCAATCGCAGGGCACACATAAAAGACCAACCATTCGCTCTCACACTCACACCTTGATACAATTTAGAGTGTTTCATTGATCTACAACGCATGTTTTTGGAATGTGGGAGGAAACTGGAGTACCTGGAGAAAACCCACGCAGGCACAGGGAGAACATGCAAATTCCACACAGGAAGGCCGGAATCGAACCCTGCACCTCTGCACTATTGAGGCCAGTGTGCTAATCAGTCGAACACTGTGCCACCCGCCCCCCCCCTTTTTTTTAGCTCTAAGAATTGCATCGATTAAAATGTATATTATCCAACGGTTATCAAACTTTCAAAATTGTCTACTACTTCTTAGGTACTGATAGATGCAAAGTTCTACAAGTTAGCGACACACTTGTGAAATGGAAAATTTGCTCTATTTACCTTTAATTATATGTTCCCATTTCCAATTAATATTTCATGATATGAAGGCACTGATCATATTATATATTTTGAACCATATAATAGCCACAATTATTCAAGTTAGTAAACAAATATCAACATGTGACACTTCGACAAATAAATGTACACTTTCAGAAAAATCACTTCTACAACATCCCTGTGGAATCACAATATCCTGCTGCTTGTGAGCAATTTCAGAACAAGGCAGCAAGTTACTCATGTGAACATTAGGGGCTTCGTGATGCCTCGGGCGCCGTGTTGGTGACTCCTAAAGCACTACCACCAAGAATAACGCTCACAGGATGTAAGCATCCGAGTTTAAAGGGAAGAACCACTGGGTATGTTGGGTGTATAGTTTGAATAAATTTGTGTATAAATTTCAATCTGAGAAATTCGTTTTTAACTATTAGTTAATTAATCAGAATCAGAATCAAAATCATCTTTCTTGGCCGTGTATGTAGAAAACAAAAGGAATTTGTTTCCGGTAGTACAGGCGACACGAGTATTGCAACAACAAGCAACTATGATAAACAAGGACATGACTTACAAGTATCGAAAGAATTTCCGTAATGTAAGGGTACCATTGTACCGTAGAAGTACCACCCACTGACAGCTGTGCGACAATGTGCAGAGTATAATGAATGAATGAATTAATTAATTGTAAGCTATTTTACACGCGTTACATGTTACCATTATTATTTTTAACCTCATCAACTTCCTGGTCCAACTGTCCATTTGAGCACAAAAGTTGTGCCACACCTGGTGAAACCTGAGGCCAGAAGTTCACCTGCGGGTTGGCTTTTTTCGCAATGGTAGAGAGAACGCCCCGCCCGCCACGGAGGAGGTGGCCGAGAAGTGGGTGCTGCTGGGGGGATGATTGAAAGCGCGGCAGTGAAACCGTGGGGATCTGCAGCAGCACGTTCCTTCTGCGTGATCAACTCGTGCGCAACAACGTCCACTTGTGGAACATTGCACGGCGAGAAAGAGCAATTATTGTCATCCTGAATGCTTATGTAAGTGTTTCCCTTCCCATATACACATGATAATGTCCACCTGACTCTTGTACTGTAATTGACGCGTTACGACAATGTGGCGTGTTCCATGCATGCATGCTTTACAGCACAGGACACACACGCACGTGTATGGGTCGAAACTTTTCTGCCCTTCCGACACGTTCTGGTTTTTGTAAACCTAGTAAATGGTTTGAGTATTAAGCAGACAACCTGAGTCGGAATGGCGGGGAGACTTGAGGAAGCTGAAGTCCACGCTGTCTTTGGCTGAATTGTCCACAGGAGAACACGAGTGGGCCAACTTTTAAACTCAATTTGAAACAGAAAAAAATGAACAGCCCCGGGTCCATTTGGTGTACTTTATACTGTCGTTTTAATTTTATACTTACTAGGGCTGGGTGATATGACCTTCACATAAAATGTCTTATTTTGTGAATAAATTTCACATTGTTGTCATTATCACAAGAAAGGAGGACGGTGGAAGACAACGACAGATGTCAAGACATGGTGCTCATTAATGTGTTACAAAAGCAGTGATTTAGCATAGGTTTAAAACTTTTGACACAAATATCATTTACAAGGCTGGTCTATTTGGTGTACTTTATACTGTCGTTTTAATTTTACAGCTACTAGGGCTGGCTGTTATGACCTTCACATATTTTCTCTGATTTTGTGAACAATTTTGACATTGTTGTCATTACCACAAGAAAGGAGGACGGTAGAAGACAATCACAGATGTCAAGACATGGTGCTCATTAATATGTTCCAAAAGCAGTGATTTAGCATACATTTGAAACTTTTGACCCAAATATCATTTTCAAGGCTGGTTCATTTGGTGTACTTTATTTTGTCATTTTCATTTCATAGCTACTAAGGGCTGGCTGTTATGACCGTCACACAAAAACTCAGATTTTGTTAATAATTTTCACACTGTTGTCATTATCACAAGAAAGGAGGACGGTGGAAGACAATCACAGATGTCAAGACATGGTGCTCACTCATATGTTCCAAAAGCAGTGATTTAGCATACGTTGGAAATTTTTCACCCAAATATCATGCACAAGACTACAGTGTAAAAGACTTCAGATATGCTGTATGTTGTCAGTTAACTTAACCCCCTTCACAATAAGCAGCACTTGGGCAAATTACAAAAAAACCCAAGAGGTTTCAAGTTGGTTATTGTCACCCCAGTTGAAGTTTACAGTCAAACTAAATATAAAACAAAGAGAATTACACCTCATGACCTTGAATCAACCACATAGCTTAGTATTTCAGTCAGATAGCTTGATTCCAGCTTTAAATAGCATCTCTGTTGCAGGGCTATAACCCTTGAAGCAACAGATTTAACCCAAACGTTTCAGGAACACAGTAGGTAAACTAACAGCACTCCCGACATAGTGTGACATACTCAACGATTGGTTGTGAGGCGTCTGGGATGCTACATGAAGTCGACGCCGAAAGTCTGGCTTGTCCGAATTTTTGTTCATGTTGCTGCATAGTGTGACATATCCTACATTGTCCTTTGATTGGTTTTTCGGCATTGACCAATAGGAAGACAGTTCCCTCCTACTGATGACGAGAGACTGGACGTGGCACACACAATCAGAATGCGGTGTACCGTATTTAAAAAGTGACTTGAACAAAATGGGAAATATTGCCAAGTATACATAGCTTTTTGACTCATGCTAAGTTTGCTAACTGCAAAGCTAATAACTAATTAGCAAACAAGGTGCATTGAACACAAATTTATTACCTCAAGTTCTTTTTGGAGAATAGACATTCCATACCGCCTTCCCCCGACCAACCAGGAACGGGTCCATGATTTATTTTATTCATTTTTTGTGCCTTTTCTGAACATAGAAACAACGTGCATGGAAATAATGCCTCCGTGAACATGACTTAGACAGCTGCTTGTCCCTCCTTCCCGACGGATCTGTGTCGATGGACTAATTCCTGACGGAAACACGCAACAATTGGGCTGGGTCTGGTCGGTGACGGACTTGTAGTGTGACATTTCACTCAGTCCAAGACACAGAAGAATATTTATCTGATAGTCTGACAGCATGAACGACAAAAAAGTGGTGTGGTATGACAAGGTGGTTATGGTACCCAAAGGCGGCCATGACAGGCCCACCAGGCCCATCATCATTCAGTTGATGCAGTGTCGTAAAAATGGTTTGACTCTATATCATTTTGTTATGACTGTTTTTTTTGTTTTTTTTTTTTTATAAAGTACAATATTATGTACTGCTATCTTTCCTAATTAAAAAAGTGGTACTTGGTGTAAAATGATTTGAGAACCACTGTTGTAGCAGATCCGTGCATGTAGCACATGCAGTAGACACATGGACAAATACAGTACAAATATACACCCAGACACACTTTTTTTGTCAATTTTAGCAAAGTGAGATTTGAGACTGTGCAAAGAGAGTGGGGGTCCACCCCTATGTGAAGCCTATACAGGAAGTATGTTTTTGCTCAGCAGAGTCACGTGAAACGCCTGCATGCAGAATGTCTGCCATTTTGTTGAGTTGACCGAGCATAAAGTGATCCCAAAGTACATGACTGACAAGGAATTTGGCCCCCAGCGCGAACCCATGCCCCCCCCCCCACACACACACACACACACACACACACAAATTGAACTCTACACGCACACGCGTTTAGGAAGTGAACAAACCCTTCCATAATCTCCAGCCAGCAGTCTTTGATGTGGACCCCCCTTCCCTCGATGCCCCCCACCTCTTGATGGGCCCCACTGGTACCTCTGTTGTTGCACCCACTGCTTTAGTAAAAAGTTCAAGTAAAAAAATGCCAATACTGTACGTTTGTCCTTTGAGTCGGAAAAAAATGCTCCACTACTACGATACCAATACGAACATAAATTATGCTCTGCAAAATAAATAATGAACTTGCTTGCTACATTGAAGTGAAATTTGTTGTTAAAATTTTCAGCAATGACAAGTTGCTGCTACGAGTGTTACAAACACGATTTTAATCTAAACATCTGTTTTGATTGAAAGCATATAAGTGCATCGAGCGTCTGCCAACATCGTGTTCCTGTTGCTTTAAATGTTGCTGCCTTAAAGAATTGTGAGTAAAATCCTTTTGTAAAGGTTGTTCAGGGGTAGCCGATGCCTAAAGGGCCTTCAAAATTGCAGCTATCGACACCTTTCCTAAGCATTTATAGAATTCAAATGATCCTATCCTTTAAGTACGTCCTGGTCATCTCGCTCACTCACATAGGACAGGAAAGGAAATTTGCTCTGCAAAAACGATAATTCTAAGAGGTCCATACTTTCAGTTTCTCTTTTGACCATGCATTGAAGTAGCAGCAACAAAGACAGACAAAAATTAAAATAAAACAATACCACCGATTCCACAAGATGGCTCCAAAGTAATAATTTTATTCCTTTGGCCTGAGGACAAAAACAGTGATTCGGTAAGATTTTCAGCGCATAACAAGAGGATAGGTTGAGATACCAAAACAAATCTGTGAATTTGCGAATGCTGAACGACAAAAATGCCAGGATTCAACAAAAGTGATCATTCGCTTCAACACAATCGTGATGTAAAATTTTCTTAGAATTTCATCTCTCGTGGAATTTTCCCCTCTTGTAATGTTTGTGTTTGTGATGGATATTTTCGAAGAAGCTGAGGGCTTCCTGAGGTCTGCTGGCATGTAAATACACACACACACACACACACACACACACACACACACACACACACACACACACACACACACACACTCGCACACACTCATGCACACACAGTCAAGTGTTGACTTATGCTGCTCATGTGCATGCAGGCTGAATGTAATTAATCCTCACACAATGCAAAAAAGAATGTGGCTCGAACACACGGTGGCGTGTTTTTTGGCTTTGTCGGAGGTTCATTTCGGCATGTCAGTGCTTGTTTTTTTGTATTTCTTCAAGTCGACGGGTCACTTTAACCCATGCTATAAGGGCAAACCACGGCAAGTAAATTACCGTGGCCTTTCACAGTTAAATGTAATCAGTAAACATCCTTAAAATTTCAATTCATTCATTGAAAGACAAAAGATTATGACACATAGTAGTATTTATTTAAATATTGATTTTACCAATGATGTATTTGTTTCATGTCATTTATAAAACTATTAATTTTGTTAAATAAGATAAAGCAGCAATGAGTTCCTGGTGGTTTAATGTGTTGCTGTGCCAGAAAATGAGAAGTGACAATAAATACTTAAATGCACCATAAATTTCTTTAAAAAAAAAAAAAAAAAAAAAAAAAAAAGAGGATAAAATAAAGAGAAATAAATCAGTCATGACCCACAGTTCATAGCCTGCAATGCTAATATTTTGATATTTCACATTCGGATTTATTAATGGACTATTTTATACATACAGTAATTGATGTGAATAATTCAGTCACAATTTCATATTGACATATACAATCATATTGAAATTCTGTATAAAAAAGATCACTGGTTTGATTGCTTGATTTCTTGGTTGATAGGTTTGAAAAAGGGTCATCACTACCATCCGCCACCGCGACAGCAATGCCCTCTGATCAATACTCGGCTGTCCCCATGGAGACCAACAACAACATGGCCGCTATGGTAAGTCTCACACCTGGCCATGCTGTCCGCATTGCATTCAGTGCAGTTATGTGTATGACATACACTATCAACAGAATATTGTACCACACTACATCAGTGGTCCCCAACCTTTTTTGTGCCACTGACTAGTTCATCTAAATACATGTACATGCTCCGAACAGACCAGCAACCATTCATCGAGGTTTGGCATTGCGATTCTTTTACTCAACAGTACAATGGAAAAGGGCTACAGTTTGATACACGCTTCAGAAATACATTTTATGAAATTACCTTGAAAAACTTTATCCTTATTAAGCATAAATATAAATGTGTAACACTTTATTTATCGAAAGCTCTACTTGTATTTACATTTTAAACTGAAAAATACCGTATTTTCCGCACTAAAAGGCGCACCTAAAAGACTTCCATTTTCTTAAAAGCTCACAGCACGCCTTAAAATGCGATGCACCTTGTGTATGGTCATTACGGTAATATTTCGACCCCCAAAATGGCTCCTTGCTCGAGACATGCTGACAACGCAGAGTTCAAACTTAAGGCGATCGGTTATGCAGTTGAACATGGAAATAGAGCAGCAGCAAGAGAGTTCAAAGTTAATGAGTCAATGTTATAACTTGCTGTTGGTTAAGTGAACTGTGTCGCTGATTTATTTAATGAGTTTTACAGACATCTGATCGTTCTGTTGGCGTTTCCTTAAGCATAGCTCCATCTAGTGGATGCATTGTTGATTGCTTCTTATAATGTGGTGCGCCCAATGTATGAAAAAAAATTACAAAATAGGCCATTCATTGAAGGTGCGCCTCATAATCCAGTGCGCCTTTTATTGTGGAAAATGCGGTACTATATCTCGAAAATCACAATGTCCTGTCACTGGTGAGCTTTTTTTAGAATAGGCTCGCGGGCTACTCGACAACACGTTTGTCATCCCTACAGTATAGTAAAATAGCAACCAAAGTCATGAACGCACTTAGATGGATAAAGATTTCATATCTGTCCAACTTTCAGGTTCTATTTCTAATAAGAATCGCTGAAAAGCGATGTTAACAGTTGCTGTGCTAATAAAACAAGATGAAGGAACTTGATAAAGCTTTTCCGTCTTGTCATGTATTCTGAACTGAGCTCTTGCTCACCTTGGCCCCTTTCACTCAAATGCTTCACAGAGTGAAATGTGGTAGTAGCCGTTGGCGCTTGTTCCTCTTTTTCACGCTCATAAATCACTTTAGTCTGGTCGGGGTGTTGGAGGGGGTCTGCTTCCTTCCACCATCTGCTCCTATTTGATTTCTGTTTTCAACGGCCCCCAAAATGTAAAATCCATGTCAATGTGTCAAGTCATGCATCAAGCACCTGTTTGTGAAGTGTGTCGTTTCGCCCCTTGTGAAACAACAAAAAATTGTGAAGCATTCAGCAATTGTATGTACAAAAGTTTACAGTAGGTCAAATGAAGTTCACCCATAAAGGTTAAAGTGTATTTTAGGTTCATCCAGAAATTCTGAATATCCTTGACATTAAATGAGTAGTGTACAGTATATACATCCGTGAGCATGCCTCCATTAGGCCAAACAAAAAAGATGTGTTTCCGGTAACATGAAATTTCAGCATAGGTCGGTAGGTCGGACAAAGTTTTTTTTTTTAATCCCCCCCCCCCCCCCCCATCAAAAATTTAAACAAAATAACCATAAAACATAAAACAAGAAGACATTGAACCGGCCGGCGCCTCCGCCACCTATTTAGTTTTCTCCCCGCTCCGCACTCGGGGGGGCCGGGGCGCGTCGCCGCCTCCGCCGCCGTCCTCCTCCGCCGTCCTCCTCCGCCCTTGGTTTTTACTCGGCCCGTGGTGTTCATCAAATAGTTCGCTGAATTTTTTCGAGACATCAATGGACGCTATTTTCTTAACATTACGGTGCGAGCATGCGACTGTAACACAGAAAACGCGGTTTAAACTGTTGTCAGAGATCGCGTCCGCCGCCATGTTTCAATGTTGTTGACAGACGGCAGGGCAAACGACGCACGCGCTCAACGTGAATATCGCGCGAGTTTGCACCGATGTAAACCCTCTACACAAAAATGCCGACTGTAAAGTTTTTTTTTCGACGTAGAAATTCTCGGTCGGTCGGGTTACCGGAAACACACTACTTTTTTTCTACGCCTTAGCAGTTACAAGCCATTTTACGGTGTATCATTAGCATATTTTCAGCTAGCTTGAGAGATTCCTTGACAGGAGCTCCGTAGTTGCTAGTACAGTAAATATTCTCTAGTGCGGACTCGTGTTTGCGCTGTCCAATTTGTCCTGATAACAGAAATTCCTCATTTGGGAAATGAGCATGGTACATGTCCTTTATGAACCTGCAAGTATGTTGACAAAATGCACGTGTAACAACACAATCATTTAAAAAGCAAAAATATACTGTCCAAACACTGTTTACTGCATGTAACAAAAACTGCAATACTGTCCAGGTACAGGTGTATCAAAAAAAAAAATCACAAAAGTACAGTACAGTATTTTAATGCTTATTTCCAAGTGTCTGCAGGATGCTTTTAACTTTGTGTCCAGCCTCGCTCAAACGGATGCATTTCACTCGCTCCGCTCCAGTCATTACAGTTCTTCTACGTTTCGATGCCATGATCTACACGACGTAAGTGAATAAAGTTAAAATCTTTCGCAATTGCAGTAAAACACACGCCAATAAAAAGTCACTTACACGTCTTCGTTTCGAATCTGATGAATGAAAATGGCGAAGCGAACACGTTTCTTCGGTCGTGTCGAGTGGGTGCTGCTTTTAAGCTAGTGCCGCGTTCTACAGGACGTTAAGTGAATAAAGTTAAAATCATTTACAATTACAGTAAAACACACGCCAATAAAAACTCACTTACACGTCGTCGTTTCGAATCTGATGATCGAAAAACGCGAAGTGAAAATGTGTCTCAGTGTCGTCGTTCCGTAGCATCGGGTGGGCGTTGTGTGTATTTAAGCTCCCGCGGCATGACGTCTCAATCCGGGTTACGGGTAGTGGAATTTCTGCTTACGTAAGTTCCGGTAACATGTAATATCGTAGTCAAAATGTTAATGCACAGGTTTTTGTTCCGGGTGAAGGAAATTCCTTTTCATAGAATTCCGGGGATGGGAATATTTACTGTATTTAGTCACGTGACCCACTTGAAACACCTTCACCCACAGCGGGAAGCACGCTACAAGTTGCTCCTCCTGCGGATCACTTGCATTGTTGCGTTTGTTGCTGATTGTCTCGCCTTTTGACAAGTTCGCTAATGATTGATGACAGCCTCTGTCAAATGCACCTTTTTTTGTTTTTATTTCCTGTTATGCCTTGAGGTCAAGTAGAGTTTAGATTGACGCTTGATAAAATGCTAACAATTGCTGTGCTAACATGTAGAAAGATAGCAGCCTCAGTTGAAAAAGTGCCGAGGCAGATCGATTAACAATATACTATAGATTTGGACATATTTCCCTGTAATCAGGAATCATTTGTAATGGCAGTTGATACAATGCTAACATGCTAACAGTCGGTATGTTATCATACAGCAAGATATCAGCCCATAGAGAAGTCTCTGGCTGCACCTGTATGGCTGTCTAGGTGTCCCAGTCAAATTTGGAAGGTTCTGCTCAAATATTCCTTGAGGTGATTTCTTCAAGGGTGTCCCCTCTGCACCTTTTCAGACATCAAACACACCAAAGACTGATCTAATTTAGTGTGGCACTCGACCATCTGACGATCAAATGTGTCATAAAGCATGCAGCCAAACCAAATAGTTCTGCTCGGCTTCCCCGGATTGCATTCCTTACTCGCAGCTCTTCCTTGGCGCGCCAAGCTTCAAGCTAAAACATGTTTTAACCTCTTCTATTTTGTCCCTTCATAGTATAAGGAACAACTTCATTTAGAAAGTAATAATATGAAAGACTAATAAATCAAATTGTGAGCACCAATACATTGATACTTATACTGTAGTTGTGAATGTAAACAGCAAGTCAAGTCAGCAGCGATAAATGTATCCTGTACTGCTTGTTCATAGACTAATTGCAGTGATGGTATACTGTATTTATTTTTTTGCTACATCCAATGCTGCTTAATATTCTTGCTGCTGTTCATATTGACGTCTGTGCCTGTAATATCTATTTGTGATCGCTTATTATGTGTACTGTATTAGATTACATGTATTGATTCATGTGCAGTATATTTATTACAATGCTGCTGACTATTCTGTCTGCGCTTCACATTAAATTCTGTAGATTATAGTATATAGGATCTATTTATTGTGAGGTTAAAGCGGAGTGTGTGTGTGTGTGTGTGTGTGTGTGTGTGTGTGTGTGTGTGTGTGTGTGTGTGTGTGTGTGTGTGCGCGCGTATGTGTAAAATTTGTTGATACATGCATATTTTTTTCTCCACCCAAGGCGAAGGTGATCCAGCCGCCGCCGGAAGGCATGTTGGAGAATGACAGCGGCGTGGAGCTGACCAATGAGAGCAGCCCCCTGGCAGGGGCCGAGCCACCGTCGCCCTTCAGCCCCAAACAGTGCGGGGGTGCCTCATCACCTCGGGGTATAATTAAATACATTATCATATAATCTTAATGCACAGTATTTATTTTGTATTTATAAATGTATTTATTTTTTGTATTTTCTTTGAATTGAGTTTCTATTGAATTATGTTTATTATTTTAATGTATTATACTTGAATACATTTGCAATGTTCAATTTGATTGTTTATTAATTTATTTTACTTTAACGCCTTATATTTTATTATTGCGTGTATTTACATTTAATTTTGATTCAAATATATTTTTAAGTAATTAATGGTTTTAATTTGTCATACTGTATATTCTATACCAAAATTAAATGTAATTGATTTTTTATTCATTCATTTCCATTTCTTTGTCTCATCAGATGATAACGTGTGTCTGGAAAGACGGGCTAGGACCAGGAAGAGGTCCGAGGGCGATGATGGTGCCTGGGACCCGTATAGTAAAGTACGGCGGGCGTAAGCGGACAACACGAATCCTCATGAACCAACGCTGAATCCGCATTAATCAACGCACGCTCTGCGTGTGTGTGTGTGTGTGTGTGTGTGTGTGTGTGTGTGTGTGTGTGTGTGTGTGTGTGTGCGTGCGGGTGGTGGTGGGTGTTTATGTGCGTGTATTTAGAACAAGACTCAGCTTGCTTTGAGAGAGAGGCCGCGCACTCGAACCATCTTCCAGGCTGGTCTGATGCCGCACGCCAAACCTCGCAGACAGACACGGAAACACGAGGTCATCGCCAATATGGTGAAAACATGAACTAGGATAGAAAAAGTGTATTACTCCTGAATGGGGGAATCAAAGAATAATATCAAAGAATTAAAATATCTGTGCACATATTTGCTTGTGGAGGCTCTCAGTCATACAGGAAAGTTCCATCGTAGAAAGGGTTCTGTCAGTCGTCATCTGTACCTGTGGGTAAAAAACAAAAAAGGACGTTTCGCTTCTCTCACAGAAGCTTCGTCAGCGGTAGACAACCCTGAAGTCTCCGTGAAGACTCCGGGAAATTGCTCTGCGCTAAAAAGCTGAGCGTGGCCTATTTGAGGACTGGGTGGGGATGGTTAGTCACGCCCCTATGGTGAAGAGGCCCATTGATTTCTAAATTCCCTATCGTTGGGTCTTGATTAGGCCTATTGTTTGGGCTAGGGCTGAATAGCTACTTTCAGTTAGCCTGATCAGCATGTCTATGTCCCTTGGTGGTCAACAAGTTATTGTAAATAGGAGACAGGTTAAATCTGAGGGAATTTAGATATCAACAGGCCTCTTCACCATAGGGGCGTGACTAACCATCCCCACCCAGTCCTCAAATAGGCCACGCTCAGCTTTTTAGCGCAGAGCAATTTCCCGGAGTCTTCACGGAGACTTCAGGGTTGTCTACCGCTGACGAAGCTTCTGTGAGAGAAGCGAAACGTCCTTTTTTGTTTTTTGTTTTTTACCCACAGGTACAGATGACGACTGACAGAACCCTTTCTACGATGTGCACATATTTAGAATATCAGCTAATGAGAGCAGATGTGAATGTGACAACTGTATTCGCAGAGAATGGCACTTCACACTATTTTGCCAGTCCATCCTCCGTCCTTCGTCTGCAACCTGAGTCATCGTCCCTCCTTGACTTTTGCTCCTTGCTTTTAAAAAAAAAAAAAAAAGGCTCATTTTCCCCGCCATATCTGCACCTCTAAAACTCAAAAAAGCTACGTTGACACGAACGATACTTTTATTTTATTAAACACGGCATGCTTGGAGGCAAAAAAAAAAAGGCCATATTTACCCATTTGTAAATATGGCCTGCTGATAGCACCGACGAGCAGGGAAAAACATGATTTGATCTGTTTCTTCTTCGGTTGTTGCTTCAGGTCTTTACTCTGCACTGCTGTTGTTATAGCACCTCTATAGTGGAGCAATGCTGCAACTGCAGTTAAAATACAGCAGGAGCCTGACGCTGTGTTGAGCGATATCGAACGGTCGGGTTGTGGAAGGCACAAAATTAGCTGGAGGTGGCCATCACATAATTTGAAATGCAGGGAAAATCCAGATATGTGAGGTTGCTGATGTTGAAAGAGTTTGATGGTCTTGGGAGTTGACTTTGGACTGTGTCTCCAAATTCTTGTCCATGTGGTATGGCTGTTTTTGATTGCGAGAACCTTGTGGAGATCTTACTCACTCTTGGCTTCCTCCATCAGTGTGGCCCATCTTCTCGGGCGTACTCATCCAAGGGGGTCGCAGAACTGCCGCGTCTGGAGTTGCTGGAGCATGACTCCAAAGATTCAGCCCAAAGCAGCGCCACCACCATGTCCAGTTGTAACGCCCACACTGAATACAACGTAAGGACCTACTCTGACACATACACTGCTAATACCATACCTACACATACGTTGTTCGAGTGTGAAGTGTCGAAACCCGTCTGACTTTCCACATGTTGGAATTTCTCTCCCTCATAATGAACTTGACAAGCTGAGATTCACCGCCTAAATTTGATTTGTTCTTTTCTTTTTATTACCTGTGCTGATCTGAAACTCACACCACTTCCGTGCTCACCCAGTGAAAAAAAACTTTTGACGAATACATTCGTCTGTGGCACTAAATGTTTGGGTTCGAGTTGACGTCCATGACACTGAATGAGTTAAATAAAGGAATTAAAGCACAGGTGTCAAAGTCAAGGCCCAGGGGCCAGATCTGGCCTGCCACATCATTGTATGTGGCCCGTAAAAGCAAATCAAGCATGTCAAGTTCCATGATGCTTGCTAAAGTCTGAACCAAAATTTCAAATTGTCATATGTAATCCACAATAACGGTCATTATTCTTGACTTCTGATTTTAAAACTGGTTATCCATCAATTTGTTTTGCGCTGTGTATGTAATATGTAATATGGTTTCTCAATATTCACAACGGCCCTCCAAGCGAAACCGTAACTACAATGTGGCCCGCAACAAAAATGAGTTTGACACCCCTGAATTAAAGGAATTAATGTTTACTCTTTTTTTTTTTTTTTTTTTTTTTTTTTAACACAAGTACCTGAACTACTTAAGTGTAACCTGTGAGTCGTTTTGCCACCTCTGGGTGTCTGCAGGACAACAAGGGCTTCAGCGTTGGTGAGCTGGTGTGGGGGAAGATTAAGGGCTTCTCCTGGTGGCCCGGCATGGTGGTGACCTGGCGCGCTACTGGGAAACGGCAGGCCAATCACGGCATGAGGTGGCTGCAGTGGTTCGGGGATGGGAAGTTCTCCGAGGTAAGTAGCAGAAGATGAAAGGCCACATTGAGCCTGACATAAGCCGACTGGCCATCTTTGTGTCCTCACAGGTCTCCGCTGACAAGCTGGATTCCATCACTGCCTTTGCCAAGTTCTTCAATCAGGCGTCTTACACCAAACTGGTGTCCTACCGCAGGGCCATCTTTCAAGCTCTAGAGGTAAATTTTGACCTCATACCTCTATACAGAATATATTTCTGCTTGTACAATGTCAAAGACTGCATGTGCCTCTAGTGCAATGACTTTAAAGGGAATGGCTAGGAAGTACAAAGTAAGTCATCTGTGTTCACTCCCACAATGCTGCAAATGCCCCTTTTTACCTTCACCCGTCCACAAAAATACCAAAAGAAAGATAAGGCCAGCCATGAGCACAATGAGACTGCACTTTGCACTACAATTACTGACATAGGCTCCAGTTCATCCATTAAATAGGTCGATAGATATTAAATGAATGGATAGATATACGACAAACATGCAAACTTCCAGCGCATTGATTCTGATCTAAATAATCTGCATGCCATTTTGAGAATCATCGTTTGTAGTATATTTATGTGTTAAACTATTAATGTAGACAATAAATAAACATTGTTTTGGGGCGGCTCAATTACTGACGTTTTTTTAGATTATTTACTAACGGAGCGGCATGCTAACTAGCTAAATTACCATACATGATTGCAGTAACACTGGTAGAGTTGCTAGCAGCGAATTGTTGAAGTGATTGTATTTGTGCTATGTCATCTCATGATGGTCCAGATGGCCAGCATCCGGGCTGAGAAGAAGTTCCCCCTCTGTGAGTCAGACAACCCTGATGAACAAATTAAGCCCTTAATGGACTGGGCGCAAGGAGGCTTCCTGCCCAAAGGCCAAGAGGGACTCAAACCCAAACGCGGCGCCAGTGAGCAGAGGCCGATCAGCCACAACCACTATTTGCTGGTGGCTTGACTCTGTGGGTGTGTGTGTGTGTGTGTGTGTGTGTGTGTGTGTGTGTGTGTGTGCGTGCGTGCGTGCGTGCGTGCGTGCGTGCGTGTGTGCAGACAGTGTCACGCTTAACATGGAGGTCTTGGACGTGTCCCTGCCTGAGTATCCCCCCAGTGCCAAGCAGCCCAGACTCAGCGTGTGCAAGAGCAAGATTGGGCCTGAGGAGTCATACAGCAGAGGTAAGGTTCAATGACAGTCAACCTTTTCACCTTTGTACATGCTTCCGGATGCTAATACTAAATACATCTTTATTTTTCTTTTGATAAAGCAAGAGCAATTGATAAAACAGAGTAAATGGCTTGAATAATGATTTTAACTGTAATTTAAAGGTGTTATATGAGGTAAATTGCTTCCAACGGAAACGGAACTCTGTCTTGTTGAATAGACGTGTTGGGAATTCAAACATAAATTAACATAATGATTGAGGGACTAGCTAATAGACAAATTGGAGACATGTTTTCAAAGACCGACACAGAAACAAATAAAAATAAATGATTTAAAGAATCGAAAGCACAGTACTGTGGTTCCCTCCCACATTCCAAAAACACACATTGTAGCTTAACTGGGGACGATATTGTTCTTAGGTGTGATTATGAGTGTGAATGGTTGTCCGTCAATGTGTGCCCTGCGATTGGTTGGCAACCAGCTCAGGGTGTACCCTGCCTAGTGCCCAATAATAGCCCTGGCACGTCCCTGGCCCTCGTGAGGAAAAGAGGTTCGGATAATGGATGGATAAAAAAATGTCCCCAATTTGTCCCCGTGGAAGTGGCTTTGCAATTTGTCAATCTTCTCTGCAAAATTCTATACGACATTCACTCAATTTCTCCTCCTCACACACGTTTGCTTGGATTATTTATTTATTTTTTAAACCTAGGAAAATTAAACATTTTGGTGTGTGTGTGTGTGTGTGTGTGTGTGTGTGTGTGTGTGTGTGTGTGTGTGTGTGTGTGTGTGTGTGTGTGCGTGCGTGCGTGTGTGCGCGTGTGCGTGCCTGTGGGTGTCGGTGAAGAAGGGATGGAATGATGTTTATGTTTGCCCATGTGTATGATGTGGCTTTTTGCAGTAACACAGTAAAAAAAATTGGCTCTTAGTCTTTGACTGGTTGGCCACCCCCTGCTCTAAATTGTCCCTAGGTTTGACTGCAAGTGTGAATGGTTATTTGCCTATGTGTGCCCTGCGATTGGCTAGCAACCAGTTCAGGGTGTGCCCCGCCTACTGTCAGATGACGCCTGGGATAGGCTCCAGCACCTCCGTGACCCTCACGAGGATAAGCAGATTAGCATATGGATGGATGAATGGATGGATGGATATATGGAGAGGTATAGTGCAAGCTTTTGTCATTATTTTCATTTCAGATCAAATACATCAAATTAGGTCAAGTACTTTGACACATATTCATTATAATCATCATGAAAAGGCCAATAGTGTTCAATTTTATTAGAAATTATTTGTTCTTAAATTGGTTCTTTCTTCTTCAGGAGTTCAAACCGTATCCATGCTGCTAATTTATGAAAGCACAGTAAATGTTGCCACAAACTTTTGAATGGGATTGTATGTTTTGATAAAGACGTTTTATTGTTATCCGTTCAGAAAAAAAAATCTATTATTTGTGTGGAATTTAATCCAATGCAGCAAAAAAAGAAAATTGCTGCAGTAAAACTGTTTCAAAATATGAAAACAGAAGAGGATTAAAAAAAAAAAAAACCCTTGTTTGGAATCATGTAATCATTATTTGCTTTTACGATAAGCGGAAAAAAATCCATCCAATTTACAAATCCAATTTTTGTTCAAATATAATCAGGACATTTCTTTTTTAAAAGACGTATCGCCCAGCCCAAGTTTTTAAGTGCAGCTATGCAATTGACAGCATCTCATCGTCATGTTTGTTCTTCCTCCAGAACAAATGGTCAATGAAGTCCTGAAGAATAAAAGAAGTATCGAAGGTAAACAATTCTCTCACTTGACACACTTTCTGAACTGTACAGTAGCGTGTTCATTGAGCGGTTGCGTGTGCGTCAGAGTTCTGTCTCTCGTGTGGCAAGATGAGAGCAGCAACCTTCCACCCGCTCTTTGAAGGAGGTCTGTGCCAAACGTGCAAGGTAACAATGCAACAGCGAACACTCAAAAAAAAACAATAACAGTCAAGCTCACACGGGAACAGGAAGCTAATGTAGTAGTTAACATCCTCGTTCTTGGCAAACAGCATTGATGAACTCCAATGTACTACTCAGTTGAGCAAGATTCCAATGCCCTGTACAAAAAGCTTGTGTTAGCTAGCTGTCAAGTGAAGCTAATGTAGCAGTCGACGTCCGTGCAGGACGTGTACTTGGAGACGTCCTACATGTATGACGATGACGGCTACCAGTCCTACTGCACCGTCTGCTGTGGCGGCCGAGAGGTTCTGCTGTGCGGCAACGCCAACTGCTGCAGGTTGCACACGCGCGCACACACACACACACACACACACACACACACACACACACACAACAATATGCACATGCAAAGATCGGCCTATACATACATATACAAATACTGTATACACACAAACACATCCATACACGTGCAGTCCAAATTAGGGCCCCACTAATTAGCTCGACGATTTTAGCTAGGTAAGACAAAGATAAGGATACTCAAACAACAATACAGGAAATACAGAATTAAACAAAAACAGCCACAATGTACAAAATGTACACACACACACACACACACACACACACACACGCACACACACACACACACGCACACACACACACATCCACAGATGGCAACCCAACGACACAATTTTATTCTTAATTAAACCCGAAACATTTATTAACGTTCATGCTGTATTCATTTCACTCCTGATCATGAGGGCAAGAGGTGAAGAATTTAAAATGATAGGTTGTGCTCCTTGTCAACTGCACTCATCTCCAGTGCCGCTTGCTTCACTCGGTTCTTTTCAGAAGCACCGTCTGCAATTTTTTTCCAGTCCCAACCTGTCCAAGCACATTACCCATATCTTTATTCCATATTTGTATGGCTTGCTTGGCATATGCTGCTTGAAAGTTTAAATGAGTGGCATATGGGTCACAAACTTCTGTCCTCGTGTCAGTTTGTCTTGTTGACAATGGCCTGGTCTTGTATCCCAATTGTCAAAGTCAGTCAACCTTGACATGTGGAATTTTTGGACTGACATGGTGGACTGAAAAACCATTCAACCAGACTCTTCAACCCATAAATTGCTTGTAGATTTTTTTTCTGGATTTGTCTTCACTAGCAGGACATCAAAGCAGCAATGCATGTGTTGATTATTTTACAGGTTACCAAATTCCAACTGCCTTTGTAAATTTGTGGCCCTTTCAGGTTTATCACAGTTGGATTCAGTCAAGAGCAGCTCAAAGCAAAGATTTGATGTCATAAATCTGGGAATTTGGCTTATTTGTCATATTACACGCACATAGGACTAATTGTTGAAGCTTCCACTGTGTCCCCCCCTGCAGGTGTTTCTGTGTGGACTGTCTCGACATTCTGGTGCACCGCGGGGCATCGAACAATGCGCGCTTCTTGGACCCTTGGTGCTGCTACATGTGCCAGCCACTGCTGACATATGGCGTCCTCAAGCGGCGCCACGACTGGAGCGTCAAACTGCAGGAGTTCTTTGGCAATGACAACGGACAGGAGTTTGTGAGTTAAATTTCAGCTTGTACCAGCAAACAGACACCACCCATCACGATCACCTAAAGTAGATACATATGTCACAAAAAAGAGGCATCCCCTGGTAGCAGCAAACAGAAACCATGATACCATGAAATTGACGTCAACCTTTAATAGGAAATAGACAGTACCTGTCACCATTGTCAACATTTTGATGTGGCCCAGATTCTATCGCCAGCAACCCCCGCATAATTTGAGTTTTATATGAAGCAGGATCACTTATTAATTTGTTGATTGCCCTTCCAGGAGACCCCAAAGATTTTTCCGGCAGTCCCAGCAGAACAGAGGCGACCAATCCGAGTCCTCTCACTGTTTGACGGCATCGCCACCGGTAAGTCAGGGACAGGAGAGCGCTACAAAAAAAGCATAATAAGCTCTTCACATTAATTGTGTATTACTGCTCGCAGGCTACCTAGTCCTAAGAGATCTGGGCTTTAAGGTGGACCAATACGTGGCATCTGAGGTGTGTGAGGATTCCATCTCTGTCGGCGTGGTCCGACACGAAGGAAAGATCCAATACGTGCACGATGTTCGGAACATCACCAGGAAAAACGTGAGGGCTAAAATGTTGGCAGTGTTGTTGTTCTATGATGCCACAAGGGAACACCATGTTGGACTTCTTTAAAACTGTTTCTCCATTCTTTTGACACGGTGCTGCCGCTCTTCCTCAGATTCAGGAATGGGGGCCATTTGATTTGGTGATAGGAGGAAGTCCGTGTAACGACCTGTCTATTGTCAACCCAGCCAGGAAGGGCCTCTTTGGTAAGTCCAGAAATATGATGTGAATAAGGTGCATTTGAGGTACAGTCAACCCCTGCTCTGAGACGGCTAAGGGAGGGACATGCCGCAAACAGCAAAAAATATGCGAGTAATTGACGTCCCACTGAAAAGGCATTTGTAATTGCCTATAGATGCCACAAAATGGCGGCAAAGCAGAGGATCTCACAAAGTAAGTTGGATTATGTCTCCAGGAATTCAGATATTTAGAGTGGCAAGATGTGAAGTTAAATAACACATTGGTATTGCTGTTGCATGTATTAACTCTATGTATGTATGTACAGTATGAACACAAAAAAAAATAAGAAATCATCAACACCATACATGTACACATTTAAAAACCAATGAGACCAACTAATGTATTGAGTTAGTCAACACAAACAAACCACCTTCACACGAAGCTCAACTGTCGTATTAGCGAGCATTCCACCAGCCAAAATAGCATGCTAGCGCATGCTATCAGACATGGACAAACAATGACTTTCAGTTTGTGTCACGTGCTCACAAGCACGTGACACAAACTGAAAGTAATTGAAGTCACCTTTTGGTATTTTACATCCATAATTTACATTACATACATTTGGACATCTTTTAAACTCATCCTAAAACACATTTTTATTTTTTGGCTTTCGATTCACGATGAGACTTGGCATTCTTTTTGTGTTTTGTTGTGTTTATGTTTTAATTTTATTTTTTGTTTTAACTGTTTTTATTTCTGTATGTCTGATTGTCAGTTTATGTACAGCCCTTGGTATGCAGATGCGGTAGTTTTTAAATAAAATTGAGTTGAGAAATAAATGTTAATGAATACAGGCAAACTAAACTATTCGGAAGAAAAGCACAAATATACTTTGGGTTTCACTCTCATATACTTTGGGTTGCACAAAACAGCAAACAGGCAATTTTTTTTCAGCAAATAATGGAGTGTCGCCCCCAAAAAATGTGCAAATGGTTGTTCACTGTAGAAAGAGAAACATAATGTCATGGTGCGTGGATGTGACAGTGAGCTTCTTCTCATGAGATTTTGTCGCTCCAGAAGGCACAGGGAGGTTGTTCTTTGAATTTTACCGCCTGCTCAGCGAGGCCAAGCCCAAAGAAGGAGAGAATCGTCCATTCTTCTGGATGTTCGAGAACGTGGTCGCCATGGGTGTCAACGACAAGCGGGATATCTCACGATATCTGGAGGTGAGAGGCTTGATGGCCTCCTAACATGTCCTTTTCTTCTACTGTTGACTTTTTGTCATGAAATCAACATAATTCAAAGGTTTGACACTCAGTGCCAGCAAATGGACACCAGTTGTCACCATGAAAAAGACACCACCACCAGGAGCATATCAATACTCTACCATCAACAAATTGAGGCCACACCCAGCAAATAGACGCCACCTTGGCACCAGGAAATAGACAAGATTTGTCACCCAAAAATACACACTCCCATTACCAGCAAATAGACACCACTTGTCACTAGCACATCAACACTACTCCTTATCAACCAATGATCTTCTCAACACCATTCACCATGTAATGGAACGTCCCGTGAGTAGGAAATAGACGTCACGCATGACCCCCAGTATATAAAAGTTCAATACTCATTTCAGAAGGCAAAATGTTTCTTTCTCCATCTGCACCATCAAGTAGACACCACTATTACAAACATATTGACACCCCCATCACCGACAAGTGAAGGCCACATACAGCTACTAGACACCACCCATCACATCAGACACCAAACGTCACCAAGTAATCGATATCGCTTGTCACCAGTTTATAGACATCAAACAGCAAACAGCAAACAGACCGCACCCGTCACCTGGGAATAGACACCACTCATCCCTAGCTCTGAGATTCCACCATCACCAAAGCCAATTGATACCACCTGTCTCCTTGAAATAGACAATAGCTGTCACCACTGCGAACACTTTGTATTCTTCAAAGAAAGTAATGTATATCATTATTTTTTTGTTTTCGCTCATCTGAGTTGCTCATTCGAAATATATTCTTTACGTTGGTTGCAGTGTAACCCCGTGATGATTGATGCCATTGAGGTCTCTGCAGCCCACCGGGCTCGATACTTTTGGGGAAACCTGCCGGGTATGAATAGGTGCGAAACAAGGCTCTAAACCCGCTTTGGGCCAAATACACAGTCTGCAAGAATACAGTACATACCGTATAATAATGACAATGACATGAGTGTTTTCCATTCCAGACCTTTGTGTGCATCTGGAATGGACAAGCTTGAGCTTCAGGACTGCCTGGAACACGGACGAGTTGCTAAAGTGGGTGAATTGCAGATGTGAGCCTTTTTTTCTTTTTTCTTTTTTACAAACAAAACGTCATCTTTTTCAGTTTGGTAAGGTTCGCACCATCACCACACGCTCCAACTCCATCAAACAGGGAAAGGACCAACACTTCCCAGTCTTGATGAACGGAAAGGAGGACATCTTATGGTGCACTGAGTTGGAGAGGTAACCACACGGTCAATCAGATGGTAGCTTTGATTGACAGTTGCATTCTCGCATCCTAATCTTCAGTTTTGGCACCTTCAGGGAGGCATGATTTAAGTTGTAACTTTGACAAAAACGCTTTCAGGATTTTTGGCTTCCCAGTCCACTACACAGATGTGTCCAACATGGGAAGAGGTGCTCGGCAGAAACTCCTAGGCCGGTCCTGGAGCGTCCCTGTCATCCGGCATCTTTTCGCACCCCTCAAAGACTTCTTTGCCTGCGACTAGATGCCACCACTAACCAGCACAAAGATCCTACGTCACCAGCAAATTGACACCACAATACCCTGTGATCATCAAATCGAGGCCAGAACCTGAAAACAGATACCACAGCAAATCACAGCACATAGACACCACCAGGAAACATACATGACACATCACCAACGAATAGACCGTGCCTTTCACCACTGCATTGTGGCCAACCATTACCAGAATTTTGACACAATTTGTTACCAGGAAATAGTCATCACCCTCACCAGCAACAAACCTGTCATTAGCATATACTGTACGTAAGCTACATGTTACTAGGCACAACCAACAAATGGGCATTTATTACCGGCAAATAGACACCGACAAGCACCAGGAAATAGAAACCAAACCACCTTACATTAGCTTAGGAGTCTTTCAAGGTCATTTTTAGTCTGGAGGGACTATGTTGCTATTACCGTCCCTTTTCCTCGGCCAGTATGCCTTTGTTTCACTTTTTGTAGTTAATAGCAAGGCTGTGGAAGGAAGTTTTTTTTGTGAGAACTCTTTAGGAAGAATTGATAGCAAAGGAAGATAGTAAGATTGAGGGTTTTCTTCTTTTTTTTTTTTCCAATTCAAATTTTAGCTGGTCTTGATTTAATTTTTGTTCTTTGTTAGAAAAGACAGTCTGATGTTTTCTTTAAAAAAATGAAGAGTTGATAGACTTAACATGTTTTATTTTTTGGTATGATTATCGTGTTTAAAAGATAGCTTCATCTTCCTGAAAGGTCCCTCTACTGTAACAATACTTGAAATAAGCGAATGCAAACAAAAAGAACAACAAAATGATTGGGTGAATCTTGGTGTATTTTTTACCCCAATTTTCGAAAAGTCCTTATTGTTTGGGAAGTATCTTGAAGCGAATCTGTTTACTGTAACGTTGTCGACAAAAACATGCAGTATTCTGTGCCGACAAGCACTGACGACTAATGTTGTCAGACCTTAAGCTTTTGTATTTTTAGTACTACTGTAATTGTTCCAAGTGTCATAACGGAACATGTTTTTTTTGTTTTATTTTGTTTTTTTGTGGGTGTGTTGTGGCTGTCACCAAAACCAAACTTATATTACCTCAAAGAAATCTCTTTTTTTTTCTATTGTCTTTAATCACTGGAACGTTTGGAACATTGTTTTCACAATGAAAACACACACAAAAAAAGTTATACTCAGTGTGTGTGTTTAGTTATTTTTTTCTTAAGGGACCAAAAGAGAAATGTTTACATGTTTCACTCATAAAAATGTTCCTGTTGTATGTTTGAACCTGCTCTTTTTGAGTGTGTTTTGTTTAAATACTGACACCAGTTTTAGAGCATATTCATCCATAGAGTTATCATGGCTCATAGAGTTATCATGTCTCATTGACCCTTTCATTTAACAAAATTACAACTAAGAAGGTTTTTGCATTTTAGGACTTCATTGCTAGCATTTTAAACAAGTTAAGCTTATTTTTGATACTTTTTTTAAAACATTCATTTTAAACTGTTAGTAGAAAAGTACTGTATATTGTGTGAAATCTTCTGTAGAGTTTGTATTCAATAAAAGGCAGTTTCGGCTGATTTAAAACAGTCCTGTCCTATTGTCATGAATAAACTGAATCAAAATGATTGTCTTTATTTCGAACATGTAAATAAGGTAATGTTAAAATTAAAATGGAAATTGAAAATATACAGTTTTCTATGGGTCGGTCAAGGAAGAAAATGCATATATAGAAAAATACAATTTTGGCAAATGATAAGAAGGTTATCACATGCTCAAAAGGGGATATGAGAAAGTATAAACTTATCCAGAGTTCCACTTATCCTTACTTCAAATCCTACTTTTCCTGAATTGAGTGGGGACGTGACTTGCTTGATTTTTGCTCCAGAAACTTGTTTGAAACTTAAATGGTCGGACTTCAGACTTTACTTATCTGGCACATGATGTTTACAAGATGATCAGTCACAACATGGATTATTTTATGTGGGATACATATTTGACATAGAAAACTGTGTTCGTCCATTCTTGTGACTTAGACAAAGATCAGATCATATTTTGCACCCAAATTATGCAGAAAGATACAAGTAATTCCAAAGGGTTCTCATACGTTTTTATTACAACTAGCATGTAAACATACGGTTAGCTACTCCACAGCTAGCCGCTGTGGGCGTTCTCGCAAGTTTTTGGTGACGTAGTACCGTCAATTTTTGCACAACATCGCCGACCTTAAAGTCTGAATAGTGTTTTTATTCGTTACATTTTAAACGACCCCAAAAATATTTTTTTCGTGGGAATTATGAAATTGGGGGGGGGGGGGTAGGGGCTGGGTGGGGGTCATTGTTTAAGGGGAAGTGGCCCCGAGGTCCCTCAGTTTTGCGCTGGTTTAAATGTCCAGTACACGCAGAGGGAAGTCGCCATGGTGAGTCCACCAACGTGCTTTTTGTTAATATTTGTTCAACCTTGACTTACCACAGTGTATTCAATGCACTACAAAACAGAAGTTTAGGTAAATTAACCTAATACTCGCACATTCCCAATTGGTTTTGAGTTGCGTAACTGAATAACTTTTTGCCGAAGATAAACGTTCACGTGAATGGGATTAACTTCATTTAGTTGAGTGATTTGTACTATTGTCCACAATTTTACTTCACCTACTACAAATTAGGATTGATGGTCGAGATGATTACGAACGTCGGTGCCACATTTCGTTATGAAGATTACGAACGTCGGTGCCACATTTCGTTATGAAGCATCTCGTGTGTTAGTTATCCACCTTGTTTTGCGGTATTGTTTGGATCGATAGTCTTTCATTGGATTGCTTTTCGCCATGTTGCCTTTTGGTGTGGACATCAACGGTCAGCTGACTTGAGTTCGGTTTGAATACTTCACATTGTTCGTAAACGCGAATTTAATCTGACTCCAAATCAGTTTAGAGTAAATGCGCGAATCTCATTGATTCTATTGGTTATGTTGCTTCCCGCGCCAATGTGATTGGTCAAGAAACCACCACTTTCGGTCGTCGACTCCGAAGAATGTATCTTACGTCTGCCTGCGTTAAACGATTGTAATAATCCGATAATAATGCCATTTTCTTGATTTATTTGATCTATTGTATTTATTACGTATTTTGAAGTCCGTTTTTGGAACCAACATTGAAATTCGCGCATAGTCTATTCCTGCGTTGGCTGCTAACTATCCCGTGATGCATTGCGGTTGGTGGTTAATGGTGCCAAATACAAAAATCCTCCTTGTCCTTAGACATTAGCGAGCGAGTCAGCTTGCTCAAGTTAACGTCCCCACACGAAACAAAAAGACTTTATTGAATTCTTTATCTGTCTTTCTGCGGTACCTTGACATTATGTCCTCAGGGGTTTGTCCCACACCAAAAGCTTTGAGAATATTTAAGGAAATATACTGTACTCAATATAATAACAAACAATAAATCTGCAGTTTAGTGAGAATGGACAAATAAAAGAAAGGATAGGGCCCCTCTTATCACTGCTTTTAATTCTATGTTTTCCTGTTTGAAGGTTCTTAATTCTATGTATTCCTGTTTGAAGGTTCTCACGGGTACCTGGGCTCTGTCAGACAATCGAGAAGAAGAGCCATCCAAAACATTACCTCCAGCACATGAACTGCTGGTCAAGACCAAACAAAAACAGGATGAAGATGTTATATGGGACTTGTGTGATTCAGATTCCTCAGGCTACACAGACCATTCATCTGGTGGGACACTATTCAAGGGGTGTTGGGGCCACACTGGAAAGCAAACAAATAATTATGCTACCTGGAAAAAGTACCGGTAATAGTTTTGACATCAAGTCAAATTTGAGGGGGTGGGGGGGGACGAGTTGGAATCTTACCAAATAATAATTATACATTTTAATATTGAATGATTAATATTTTTTTCTGGGTAAAATATGACCAGTTTTGTAATATAATGACTCTCTTGAAAAATATAATAGAAATCTTTTTTTTAATATGAGATTAATGTAGTAATCAAAGGACTTTATTCAGATAAAACATAACTTTACCGCAATAATGATACTTTCTGGGAAAAAATAATCAGTATATTATAACTTTTCTTGAAAAGTACAGCTTTAGCCAAATAATAAGATTTTTTTTCTAGACAATTACTGTATGACAGATTTTGTATTAGGAAGCACTTTTTTTCTAGAATCTTTCTTCATGAAAGATTGAGACATTCGAGAAAAAAAATCACGCTTTAATCTTGTAATTGCCATTTTTCAGAAAACATAAAATTTTAGTCTTTGGGGACTATGATTTTTTTGGGGGGGGTGGCTTAACATGTGGCTTTCGTCTCTTCCTCTACAAAATGATTTTAATCTTGTAATTTTAAGACAATTCTTGAGAAAACTACTTCTTAAATCTTGTTATATTAAGACTTTTTCTGGAGAAATGTGACTCATTTTGCAGTAGTAAACCTTTTTCGATCGAAAAAATACATCTTTATTGTGCAATATCAAGACATTCTAGAAAAATGAGAAATGACTTTAGTCTGATAAAATAAAGATGTTTTTTCCCAAAAAAGTAACTTTTATCTTTTAAGATAAGATGTAGAAAACTTTCCCATTATTCATTTTTTCAGATTTTTTTTGCCTTAATATATTGTGTCTTTTTCTCATAGTACGTTTTTTTTTTCTTTCCAGTGTGGCACTAGAACTCCATTGCAATAATCAAACTAACTTGGCCCTATGTTCATTTTTGCCTTATTTGTTTTTTTAGATGTGATTGACGTCACAGACATGGTCACACAATTTCGGATTGGGGAACGTTTCCAGGCAAAAAGTAAGACCTAGTATTTCCACATCCATTCATTCCGTCATGGTTGTTTTGCATAGTTGAGTTGAGTTTTCATGCAAATAAGCCCCTGCTCACCACGCCCGTACAGACGACTTGCACAAATGCTTTTGTTACTACGTCGTTAATTTCATAGACGAGCAGAGGCCGGTGGGAGGGAGGGCTGCATTGGCATAGGAGCGGTCACAGCCAACAAACGATGAAAGCAGCTCCTTTCATTGTTTTATTTCACCAAAATTAAATGTATCTAGATGTCTTTATTCAGATATCATAAATCAAGTTTTCACTAGCAGGTGAAATGATGCTGTCAATATCTTGTACTTTAGCTCCCGGTATTTTCGATATTCAGTTGATTTATCACAGTTTCTGCTGCAGTAATTTATATATATTTTCTTTTTTATTAAGGAATTGCAAATACCCTAAACCAGAGGTCCCCAACCACCAGTCCACGTACTGGTACCGGGCAAGACCAAGATCTCTTTTTTTTGTTTTGTTTTTTGTTTTTGCTGAGCATCAGTCAAATACACCACCCAACCCGTCGATTACCTTTGAAAGGGCAATATAAAAAGGGCCTGGAGATTATATGATCGAGATTCATGATATTATACGACCAGCAGCGAGCTGTGAATATATTTACGCCATCAGACGTTGCAGAAATGTGTTCGACTAATCTGAGTCGCCATTCTAACATTGGTTTGCAAGTTGAAATAAACAGAATCCACCAATACATGAAAGAAGAAAAGCAGTACACAGAAAGTCAGAGTAACAAATTGACAAAACGTACATCTAAATGTGCGGGTGGTGTGCGGCCATTACTTCCAAAGATGAAGCTATTTTGTCAAAAGAGTTCCTCCCCTGGCAGTATCTCAAATACGACGTGGAGGGGAGGAAGCTGTTGTGCATGGCATGTCGTCAAAAACAAGACAATACTAGAAACCTGTTGAGTTGTTTGAACAACTAGCACCCAAGTGATCAAGTGGACAGCACGAAATTGCGAGCAGAGTTTGCACAACCTGATCACGTAAACATTAGAAGTTTAGTCAAAATAACTAGCCGGCAACCACCGGATGAAAGTAGCATTCCATCATGTCATCTAGTTTACTGTTTTATTTTATCCTCCATTTGTTGTTCTATTGAATAAAACTGTTTGAAAGGCGGTGGCCCGGTGTTCCAGTGGTTAGCGCGTCAACCTCACAGTGCAGAGGTACTGTGTTCAATTCCAGCTCCGGCCTCCCTGTGTGGAGTTTGCATGTTCTCCCCAGGTCTGTGTGGGTTTTTTCCGGGTACTCCGGTTTCCTCTCACATTCCCAAAAAAAAACATGCATGGCAGGCTGATTGAACACTCTAAATTATCCCTAGGTGTGAGTGTGAGCGCGGATGGTTGTTCGTCTCTGTGTGCCCTGCGATTGGCTGGCAACCGATTCAGGGTGTCCCCCGCCTACTGCCCGAAGTTAGCTGGGATAGGCTCCAGCACCCCCCGCGACCCCTGTGAGGATAAGCGGAACGGAAAATGAATGAATGTTTGAAAGGAATGTGAAAAATTTGAATGTTCAATTACTCTATAATTTTCTTTGTTGTCAGCACCAGTGCTTTAAAACTGACAATTTAAAAGCAATGATAAAAAAGTGGTGCTGGGAACAGCATGTACTTGTCTTAACTGGTCCATGACTCAAAAAAGGTTGGGGACCCCTGCCCTAATCCATTTTGGATATAGCTGAACAGAACAGTCCAAATATTTTAAAAAGGTCTATACAAAGAATGACAATGTCACATTTACATCCTCTTGAACAGAAATGGCGAAACATCATCAAATGTCATGAGTAGTATTGCAGCTCATGTGTATTTGCAGTTGTTCCAGCTTCAAATGGATCTCCGGCAGAGTTAATCTACGTGCTGAGCAGTGATGATGAGAAAGATGATGATGTTGATGACATCAACATGTCCGACGCTGCGGCCTGTAAGAATGGTGCAAGCAGACATTTGTCTCTTATCTTTTCCTAATATTTCGCCCAAAACAGACTATGCGAACTTCAGAACTGTAAGGCAGATAGATGCGCTCACCTCTCATTCAACGTGTTATCTGCAATTGAAAAGTCACTTGTACTTAAACAATCAATGGGCAAGTTATTTTTACCAAGTGCTGTCATGTTGCTTCTCATGAAGGTGTGATCAAATCAGAAGTCATCGAAAAAGTAATAAATAAGAAACTTATAAAGAGAGAGACCAGCATCTCCACCAGTACACTGTCACAGACCCCGCGGAGCATCGCCAAGCGGAAACGCAAGAAACACAGCCCCAGGAAAAGATCCACAACTGATTCAGGAGACTGGGGGAAGGAGGACAAAGACGAGTGTGAGAAAGGCAGAGGTGGGCGGAAGCGGTCGAAGGATGTTAACATTCCGCTGGGCATGGCATTGGACGTCAACAACTCACCTGACCATACGCACAAGAGGAAGTCATTAACTAGAGTGTACAATAAGATCATCCCATCCAACAGCGTTACCTACACTCAGCCCGACCAGACACGCCGAGGTGAGATTGGTTTCATTCACAGTACAAATTACAAATTACTTGTTCAATGTGAACCTATACTTTTTTAAACAATATTTTTATTAAAAAACAGTTTGACTATTTTTAATATGATATTAGAAATTGTTTTTTAATTTCATTTCATGAGCTAGAATTTTTTTAAAAAATGTGATTATTTAATTGTGTAATTAATTGTATATTTACTGGATTATCAAGTAAAATAGCTCTAATAAGACTATAAAATTAAGGGGTGCCCCACTTTTGATGCATTTTAAGTTTAGTGATTTAGTGTTTCTTGCCGTCTCATTTACACGTTGCTAAAAAAAAATCTTTGTGTGTGCAGAGGAGATGATTACGAGGATTGTGGACATGAAACTAGACATTGAAGGTTTGTGTGTTCGATCAAGAAAAGCATCCCAAAATCCCATCAACAATCTGGTATCCTTTTCAGCACCATGCATTGAAATGAAGTTTGTCATTGCATCCACAGGGTTCTGTCTGTGTTGCGGGAGTGACAACGTGGAGATCTTCCACCCGCTCTTCAAAGGAGGTCTCTGCTTGAGGTGCAAAGTAAGAGGGCTCACCCAGCCTAGTTGCCAAATAATGGGACAAGAAACTCTATGTGGGGGCAGTTGTTATGTACAGTATTTTTGTCCATCATAGACCAAGTCAGATAGCAACACTTGGCTGAGCCATCTGACTCAGGGCGAGAGGCAGGGTAGACTCTGTACTGGTCACCAGCCACCGTCAGGGCACTTACCGTATTGGCCAGATTTTAAATGATTTACCATGAAGACAATCCTGATCCTTAGTCAAAGGCTGCGTCAGACCCTTCTGGACACCATCACTCAAAAACGCAAAAGACATAAAAATACGTCATGGGTAGGTGGCCACAGTGGTTTTTCAAGCCATATTTATACATCACGGGGAATAAAAGAGTTAAAATCAGAGCTTGGACTGGCACCCAAAAACCCGGTACCCCAATTGTGTTGGCTACAGTGATTGAATTCCGATTGGTTTTGAAACTTCCATTTCGAACTACGGAAAAAGTGTTTCTTAAAGTGGCTTACCTTAATGTAAAGGTGGTAGTAATGCACCAAAAGTATTTACCAACCATCAAAAGAAAGTAGGGGAAGAAATGTCGTAAGCAGTTGGCAAATACCTTTTGTGCAGTCCCACTCCCTTCACGTTAGGTAAGCCATTTTAAACTAAAATGAAAAACATTTCCATTGTTAAAAACAAAAGTTTCAAATCCAACCGGAATGCCTTTGCTGCCATCATTACGATTAGGTAACAGGGATTTTGGGTGCCAGTCCAACTTTTACTCTTTCTGGTCTCTTTTTTTGTCAAATAAATTTTGCCCCCAGAATGTGACTTAAAGCCCAGTGTGAGATTTTTTCTTCTTCATGATGCATTTTTTTCGCGGTACGTTGGACGACTGGTGAACACGTCCGCCTTACAGGGCAGAGGTGCAGGGTTCGATTCCGGCTCTGGCTTTCCTGCGTGGAGTTTGCATGTTCTCCCTATGCCTGTGTGGGTTTTCTCCGGGTACTCCAGTTTCCTCCCACATTCCAAAACATTCATGGCAGGTTAATGGAACACTCTAAATTGTCCCTTGGTGTGAGTGTGAGCACAGATGGTTTTTCATCTATGTGTGCCCTGCGACTGGCTGGCAACCAGTTCAGGATAAACCCCGCCTACTGCCCGATGACAGTAGGCTCCACCCTGAGCCTTGTGAGGATAAGTGAATTAGAAAATAGATGGATGGATAGTGTAACTACTCCAGAGCGTCTTATAGTTGGAAAAATAAGGTATCTGCGACCAAGCATTACCGTTCACATTGACACACACATACAATTTCGTCTTCAATTAAGTTAATGTGGGATGAAAAACAAACAAAAGCACGGTACGAATATAAAAACAGAAAGCTTTAGCTGAGATTTAATTCCTAAACTCAGAAGAATCTGCACCCTTTCTCCTTCACAATCTCACAATGCTTTGCTGCAGGACAACTTCACAGAGACCTTGTATCGCTACGACGAAGACGGCTATCAGTCCTACTGCACCATCTGCTGCTACGGCCTGGAGGTCATTCTGTGCGGGAATAGCGGCTGCTGCAGGTCCGTTTGCGCGTTTTCTTTTGCCGCCCTTCAAGACCATTCACCAACAACTATTTTGCCTCTTGTCCAAGATCTTACTGCAATGACTGCCTCAACATCCTGGTGGGCCGCGGGACCTTTGACTCGCTCAAGCATGTGGACCCGTGGATCTGCTATATGTGTCAGGACCACCGAACTCACCGTGCCCTCCTTCCCAGAGAGGACTGGAGCATTCGCGTCCAGCAGTTCTTTGCCAACAACAGCGCCATGGAGTTTGTGAGTATTGGCATGACATCCTTTGTCCCATTTTTTTGTCACTAATTATTGCATCCAAAGGTTTCCAGAGCATAATTTGCAGTCGACATGCACATTGACATGGTTCCTACTTGGAATGTGTATGTCAGGCTGGTGATGATGTACCTCTGCGTTTCAAAGTATCAGCATTTGCCTGTCTAGTTTTAAATTGCCCTCTATTGCACTGTACCAAATCCGTGCGCTCCTGTGCGTAGTAGTCGCATAATTAACCCTTCCGCGGCTGCACATTTTTCTGAAATTTTTAATCCAGATAATCAGTGCTCTACTGCATCAGTTGAAGAACTTTGCAATGGCTTTAATTCTGTCTGCAAACATTTGCTGGACTGTGAAGCTCCCATAAAAACCAGACTGCGCAAACTTGAATCTGAGCCTTGATTGGATGATGCCATGCGCGCTGGCGCCCAGAAACCTGACCATCCTCCGATCCCTCCACTGGCTCCCCCTGTGCACACACTTTTATATAGATTTTACAATTATTTTGTTTGCTTTTTACTAAACTAATGCTGCAAGGTGATATGTATGATAAATATGATGTAATTATGCTCCAATCGAAGTGTATAGAACATATAATTTGATGTAAATATGCTGCACTTGAGGTGTCCAGAGAATTAATTATGATGAAAATATTCAGTATTTCAGATACCGGGTACATTAAATATGATACAATACAATACAATTAAATATGCTTGGGAATTAAGGAATGATAAAGTGCAGTATTCAAAACATTTTTCCATTTTGTCATCTGTCATCTCTCACTATAGGAGCCCCACCGCGTTTACCCGTCCATCCCCACTAACCTACGAAGACCCATCCGAGTTCTCTCACTTTTCGACGGCATTGCAACAGGTCAGCACATCCACACACGTTCTAAAACCATGTCAATTTTATTCAGTATCAGATATGTGTTAGTCTATCTTTTGAACATGTGTCACTATCTGAGGTGATTACGTCTCAAATGTGAGTATGTTTCAGAATTGGGTCTTGAGTGTGACAAGTATCAGGCATGACCATGTTTCATCATCAGTTGTGAGCATCTTTCGGGATCAGAGTTGATTATTTTTCAACATCAGTTGTAAATATGCTTCATTATCAGGTGTAAGCATGTTTCATTATCAGACCTGAACATGTTTCAGTATAGTATGTGAATATGTTTCAGGTGTGAATGACAAGTGATAGTTGGTAATAGTAATGAGTGCAACAACAGTTCTAAATAATACAGTAAATAGCTTGTCAACAAGCTTACATTTTGTAAATGTTGGTTTGAACATGTTAACTGGTTCACACCTGATATTGACACATTCACACCATGTTCGCACTTTCACCTTTGCTGTTTACGCCTGTTTACGTGCTCAGTGTGCAGTGTTCAGACCAAGTGGGAACACCGCTGAATTGCGAGTTGCCCAGTATCTTAACATGGACTCGTCCTGTCGCAGGATACCAGGTGTTGAAGGACCTCGGCTTTAAGATCCACACGTATGTCGCCTCAGAGATTTGTGAGGATTCCATCGCAGTTGGGCTCATCAACCACGATGGGAAGATCGTCCACGTTGGTGACACCCGTTGCATCGACAAGAAACTTGTACGAGCGCACACACACACACACACACACACACACACACACACACACACACACACACACACACACACACACACACACACACACACACACGTACGCACATACACTTAGCCCACTTTGGTTGAAGTGTCATTGCTTCCACTTAACTTGAAAGTATCCCTACCCATGTCATTAGCAGAGGATGAGTCTAAAATCAGGGGTGACAGAGGCTGCAGAAAAATTAAAGGATCCAAGGACCACTTGGAAATCACATGACTTCTGATTTTTGAAACACTCTAAAATTGATCAGGAAATGTGAACAGGAGCGAGAATAGTCAGCAGCATTGTATTTACCATGAAAATAAATACAGATGAAAATGAAATGAACACCATCATAATGATGTATGAACAGAATACTGCTGGTACACCACGCTATATGCATAATGTGTACGACAGTACATACTGGCAACAGAAGTGAATGCGAATAACAGTCCACAGCAACTACATATACACAAACAATGCTATAAACAATAAAAGCATCAAATTGGATTCACTGCGATTGGTTCAGGGTGTCCCCCCCGCCTACTGCCCAAAGACAGCTGGGATAGGCTCCAGCATCCCCCTCGAGCCTAGTGAGGATAAGCGAATCGGAAAATGAATGAATGAAAAAAAATTGGATTCAGTTACATCCAAATCCACTTTTTTTCCTTTCTAGGTGGAGAAATTGGGTCCTTTTGACTTGCTGATTGGTGGAAGCCCCTGTAACGACCTTTCCATCGTAAACCCCATCAGAAAAGGACTCTACGGTCTGTTGATTAAGAGGCCAGAGTTATTGATGATTTCTTTCGGAGATGAACAAGATCACAGGCATCTGAACTGCCTGCATTTCCTTTCTTAGAGGGTTCAGGCAGGCTCTTCTTCGACTTCTACCGCATCCTGCAGCTGCTTAAGCCCAAAGAAGAAGACCACCAGCCGTTCTTCTGGCTCTTTGAGAATGTCGTCTTCATGAACATGCATGACAAAGTCAACATCTGCCGCTTCCTCGAGGTTCCTCTTCCCACCCCGTCATCCATTCTCCCTCCCTTCATAATGGCTCAGTGACACTCTCTTGATTGACAGTGCAACCCGGTTCTGGTGGATGCCGTTAAAGTGAGCCCAGCCCACAGAGCGCGTTACTTCTGGGGGAACATTCCGGGGATGAGCAGGTATCTAACATGACTCACATACTCGCGCTGAGGAAACATATTGATAATCTCATTATCCTAAAGAGTTCATTTTTAATCTTGTAGTATGCTTGTAATATGACATCTTTCTTTGCAACCAATCATCCCCCACCTTAAATTTTATTATTGGGGGAAAAAAGACAAGTTTATTCTTATTTCTTTTCAAAAACATCCATCCAACCATTTTATAATCTGCTGATCCTCACAAGGGTCGCGGGTGTGCTGGATCCTATCCCAGCTGTCTTTGGGGAGAGGCGGAGTACACCCTGAACTGGTAGCCAGCCAATCGCAGGTCACATATCGACAAGCGTCCACTTACACTCACAATTACACCGAAGAACAATGTAAAGTGATAAATCAACTTCCGGGCATGTGTTTGGAATGTGGGAGGAAGCCAGAGTACCCAGAGAAAACCCACAGAGGCTTGGAGAGAATATGCAAACTCCACACAGGAAGGCCGGAGCCCGGAATTGAACCTCAGACCTCTGTACTGAGGCGGACGTGCTAACCAGTTGTCCACTGTGCTGCATAATCTTAATAATAATAATGACAGTAATAATACAACTTGTTGAAAAAAATACAACTTTAATTTTGTAGTATTACAACTTTTTTCTTCAAAACATACATTTGAGTCTCGTTATGCTTTATTCTAAAAACTTTACGAGCTTTATAGAGCGAGCTAGACAATGCTCTAAAAACAGATAGATTCAAACAACATTTTGATCATCTCATAATATTGCAACTTTTGTTTTTTTTTTTGTTTTTTCTACCGAAAATTTAAGCTTTTGCATTATTACCACTTTCCAACTTTTTGAGAAAAGTATATGAATTTATTTTATGAGGAAACTACATTCTATTCTTATATTGTGAAACTTATGTTTTGAATCAATTCAATGTAAATCTTATAATATTACAACTTTGCCATGATTTTTTAATGTTAAAATGCAGCTTAATTTTGTGTTGGTACAATTTATTTCATTGAAAAAACAATTTTAATCTAATTTTTGACATTTAAAAAAAATAGATCCAACATAATGTAATAATGCAAGTTTTTCCTTGAAAAATACAAATATTGCAACTTGTTTTCTTTTGAGGGGAATCTCTTTTTTTTTCCTGTAATATGAATTTCCTTCTGGAAAAATATGACTCTGCCCGTGTACTATTACAATGGGTTTTCTTGAAAAATACAACTTTATTCTCATAATATGATGACACTCAACTAGGAAAAATAGGACTTTCCAATTATCTTTATAGAACCCAATTTGTCTGCTCTGAAAAAAAATAATTTTAAAATCAGAATACTCTGATTTTTGTTTGATAAAATATTTGACTTCCTATAAGAAAACGTTACTCTCATATAGCATTTTTGAAAAGAATAGTTGGATTGAGGATGTGTGCAATCCACGACCCCTGGAAGACCATCAGAACATTTATACGTATAATTACATCTTTTGTCATTGCATTTGAGTGGTGTTTTGTCTCCCAGGCCCATTGCAGCATCTCAGAGTGACAAGTTGAGCCTGCAAGACTGTTTGGAGATTGGCAGGGAAGCCAGGGTCAGTGACTCCACACACCATGCTTTATTGGGCGGCTTTATTGCTCCGTTGTCTCATCAGTCACAGTGACTCAAACATTTGTTGAAAATATTGTAGATGACTGACACATGTCAGAGTTGGGAGTAAGCCACCTATGTTAACTCATACAACCTAGCACAGTGATAAATTCCTCTTTGCACAACAGCCTCTTAGCACTTAATGTCGGTACTTGCATGAGTTAGCTGTACTAACATTATAACAATTCACATTTGATCACGGTCCCACACCGGTCTTGTATTGTCTATTAGTTTGTTTTCTCAATGAAATGCATAACGAACATGAAGTGTAGTTCATGCTTGACCAACTATGGGTTAGCTAGAGCGCCAAGTTAACTGAGCTGTTGTTTTTTGGGTCCCCTCGCAGGTCACCAAAGTGAGAACCATCACCACCAATCCAAACTCACTGAAGCAGGGCAAAAATGTCTCGCTACTTCCAGTACTCTACCAAAGCAAAGAAGACAACCTTTGGATTACCGAACTTGAAAAGTACAAACTGTGTGTGTGTCTGTGTGTGTGTGTGTGTGTGTGTGTCTGTGTGTCTGTGTGCGTGCGTGTGCGCGCGTGCGTGTGCTTGTAAAAATTGGGTGAATAAATGTATGCAGGCATCATTCTGACTAAAGTTTTCACCTGTGACCCATTGTCAGGATCTTTGGCTTTCCCAAACATTACACCGATGTGAGGAACATGAACCGGCAGCAGAGGCAGAAGGTGCTGGGCAAGGCTTGGAGTGTTCCCGTCATCCGGCACCTCTTTGCCCCACTCAAGGACTACTTTGCCTGCGAGGAGCTCTCCCCCTCCAGCATGCCCAGCCCAGGCACCGCCACATCCGTCCCTCTACTGATGTAGCAGCTCGGCTAGGAAGAGAATGTTTCTTTAAAAAAAAAGAAAAAGGGAATCATGTTGATTTTTTAAAGTATTCTTTCCTGCAGTTTTGTCAGTTTACAAATGTATATTTATATATACCGGTACATAAAACTGCGACAACTATTCCAAATATGTGAACCCTTTGGAACAGCTTGGATATCTGCATAAATTAGTCATAAAACTTCATCTGATTTTCATCTATGTCACAAAAATGGGCCGTCAAAACTTTCTTAAACTAATGGCACACAAACAACTGTGTCTATGTTTTTACTGAACAAAATGTGTATGCAATGTAAACATGACAGTACAGGGTGGAAAAAATATATGAACCCTGATTTTTTTCAAGCGCTAATCGGATTCAGGAGTCAGTCGACCTCGACTCCATTTAATGGGACAAGATTCATGGAAGTGTTGGTAAAAGCCATCGGCCTTTTAAAAACAGACTCGCTAATTTTTATTTTTTCCTGTGTGATTACAAAAAAAATGTTTGAGATAACTCCTGCTGAAGAAGGTTCAACCAGTTATTAAAGCCAAAGGTTCACTTTCTTTTTCTTACAGCTGTATACAGCTCCAAAAATATGTTCACTCTTTAACTGCCCACTAATCACATTTTGCTTACTAAATGTGTTTTCATTTATGCCTTTTATATTTTCTTAAATTCAGTGCGATTTGCTTTAATTTAACTCATTAGAGTTATTTATATCAATTAACACTAAATCTGTGAGAAATATCGGATTAATGGCCAGTCAAAGCATAAATACATTTTTGGGACACCCTGTCCATTGTGTTCTGTAATATATTGAAGATGTGGCCTGCTCTAACTAATGCCACACTAAGGATTAGATGTGTTTACTAAACATACCAAGTAAATGTTAACTGTGCAGGGTGGAAAAGTTTGGTAAACCTTTGGATTTGTTGATTGTTTGACCATCCTTGGGCAGGAATAACCTCAACCAAGCATTTTCTATAGTTGCAGATCAGAGCTGCACATTGATCAAGAGGAATTCTGGACCATTCCTCTTATTAAAATATTTCAAATCAGAAATTTTCTTGGAATGTTGGATCATGCCACAGAATCTCAATTGTGTTAAGGTCAGGACTATGGATGGGCAACTCCAGTCGGTGGATTTTCTTCTTTTCTAAGACATTTGATTGTGGATTTATTTTCATCACCTACCTTTGTTAAAATCAATGTATTTTTCCACATGTACCGGTAATCATCCGTCAGCATGTCGTGTTGCACCTCAAACCTATAGTTTGCATTTAAAGTATTTGACGTTAGGAAACCATGAATGTAGAGTTGTTTTCTTTTGTTGTTTTTAACGTGCTTTATTTTTCATTTTGTTTTGGTCGCAAAAACATACATATGTTTTGTATGTCCACCCAAAGATTGTACAAAAGCCCCAAATCAAACATTGAAATGCAAAATAAATGGCATTCTGTATTTTTTTTTTTTTAATTTGGGATAATTTATGTGTGGGCGCCTGGTGATCCACTGGTTAGCGTGTCGACCTCATAGTGCAGAGGTACTGGGTTCAATTCCAGCTCCGTCCTCCCTGTGTGGAGTTTGCATGATCTCCCCGGGCCTGTGTGGGTTTTTCTCCGGGTACTCCGGTTTCCTCCCACATTCTGAAAACATGCATGGCAGACTGATTGAACACTCTAAATTGTCCCTCGGTGTGAGTGTGAGCGGGGATGGTTGTTTGTCTCTGTGTGCGCTGTGATTGGCTGGCAACCGGTTCAGGGTGTCCTCCGCCTACTGCCCGAAGACAGCTGGGACGGGCTCCAGCACCACCCCCGCGACCCTTGTGAGGATAAAGCAGCTCAGAAAATGGATGGATGGATAATTTACGTGTGTGGATGTCAATTCTAGATTTATCCGTGTGTGTGTGTGTGTGTGTGTGTGTGTGTGTGTGTGTGCGTGCGCTTGCATGCGTGCACACACACACGCACACGCACGTCTCTTTTCCCTTGTTATTTTTGTGTGCTTGGCCTCTCCACGGCACTAGGTAGCGAACGCGGACTCGCACATTGACGTTAAGACTAAAAGAAGGCGAAGAAGAAAACAGACATAAAAGAGGAAGGGAAAAAAAAAACCTATCGATTTTATTTTTTTCTTCCGCTGCCGGTGGACTTGAGTTGGACAGAACCGGTCCTAACATAACACACCGGAACGAGTAAGAGCTTTGGCCATCGAGGTGGGTTCTTCGTCGGCTGTGGCTAACCCGCCGCCAAGCCTCTGTTGAAACGACATTGGCCGGCTTGAGGCAGCGAAAAAAATCGTCCGTTTCACTTCCCTGCTACTTCAAAACAAAACGTTCAACTCATGTTCGTATTAAACGAGTAACACGTCGCTTTAGTGGTGATGAGTTCCGACCGTATGAGCTTCTCGTGGGCAGAAAGTTGCGTTCGAACTCAGTTTTCGTTGTCTGGAGAGGCTTTAGCATAGCTGAGCTAATCGGCTAACAACGCGGCCCTGTTGTGTCAATCAAATCCAAATCGTTCCGTTTCAAGTTTGTCACATAGCCAAATATACAGGAATAACCAGCTATGATACAATTACTGGTGTATAGTAAATTATAACAGTTATATAATAGTAATCATCTTTCTGTACTTGGCATTTGTCGAAAAGCGGCCCTTAATTCAAGGTGGACGCGAATGTGTTAAACGTGGGAATGTAACGTGAATGTGTTGCTCTCTTTCAGAAAAATACAAATTCGCAACTATCCTATTTTGTTGTTTTGTATTGGGAAAGTCCTTCCTAGCAGTAATTAGGGCTGGGAGATGTGTTTAAAATATGCAATTTTGCCTTTAAGTTTACATACCCTGTCAGTATTTTTACATGACTCTACAAGGCCCACATATTTTTTAATCATTGTGCTTTTCCGAAAAAAAGTTGTACTCAGAGCTGTCAAAATTAGCTGAATAATCGATAATGTGATTAATCGACAGTTGTTTTGATAATCGAAAAATCTTTTCGAGACATTTTTAGCTTAAAATGTCCAAATACTCAGATATCAGCCTCTTAAGTGAGCACTATTATATAATTTCTCTAGTCTTTCCTAAAAGTAGGTTGATTGTCTTTAAAAGAATTGCCATCTGTTTTTCAATTATACAATTATCAACCATTTCCCTCTATTTTGTGACACGTTACAGACCCAACCAGCAATTAAATAATTATCAAATTATGTAAAGCATAAATTAGTTTCATCTATGGGTGTGAATAACTTGTAATTGACATATAGTTGAACGTGGAACACAGAAGTGTAGCAATTCTCATTAGTCAGTACCCAAGAAGTACCTCATAAGTTTTAAAAACCTAAGTGAGTACAGTATCACTCGGTCTCATCTGATATTGCCAAATAGTTGTTTATTTTGTTTTGTTTGTGTTGATAAACAAAATGCGTGGAACAATCGATTCTGTGACACATTTTAAAACATTGCAGTAATTTTTTATGTGTCGACTTGGACAACCCTTTGGAATGTCAGCCCGACGAGCTTATTGGTGGCTATTTTCAACTGAAATTTCTCAGCCGGTTGGAGAAGGGGAGTCTTTTTGAGTTGTTTAAGACCGAATGTCTACAGGTGTTAATGGTAATGATTGTTTATATGTGCCGCTTGAAATATTTTGTGATGTAGCAGCACATACCTCAGATTAAGTTTAAAAAATGTTGATAAATACTGATTTATACTTATTTATTCTGGTTAATTGTAGGGAGATCCCAATTACTTTTTTTTTAAATTTTGCACTCACATCTGAGCCACTTGATTTTGAGTAACTGCTGAGTCCCAATTTGATACCCCATCAATTCATTTAGATCGTGCATCCAAATTGTCTCCTTTTTTTATTCACAATGATGTGGCAACAGTGTGTCAGTTTGTGACCTTCAAAAAAAAGAATATGTAAAAATCAAATATTTTTTTACCTAACAGGCATTATTTGGAAATGATTTGATCAGCTCTGATTTCCAATCATGTATTTGGATTGTGACAACTGTGGTTATTTGTGGGACAAACGTCAGTGGAGGAGGAACAGTTTGTCCCTAGGTGTGAGTGTGAGGGTGGATGGTTGTTCGTCTCTGTGTGCCTGTGATTGGCTGGCAACCGGTTCAGGGTGTCCCCCGCCTACTGCTCAAAGACGGCTGGGATAGGCTCCAGCACCCCCGCGACCCTTGTGAGGATAAGCGGATCGTAAAATGGATGGATGGATGGATGATTATTTTGAATTTTTTTTTTCTCTCTAGTGATCTGCTTACGGACAAACAATGGCCGTGAATGTCTACTCCACCTCGGTGACAAGCGAAAACTTGAGTCGCCATGACATGCTCGTGTGGATCAACGACTCTCTACAGATGAACCTCACCAAGATCGAGATGTTGTGTTCAGGTAAGACTCTTAACCGTTATTACTGATAACAGTACATGCCACATTCATACATGTCCAACATTTTACGAATGGATTGAGCCTCAAATATGTTGGCTTCTTGAGTTATGGAATTTTGATGAATTCATATGGTAGAGGTGGTTAGCGCATCGACCTCACAGTGCAGAGGTCGTAGGTTCGATCCCGGCTCCGGCCTCCCTGTGTGGAGTTTGCATGTTCTCCCCGGGCCTGCGTGGGTTTCCTCCCACATTCCAAAAACATGCATTGCAGGCTGATTGAACATTCAAAATTGTCCCGAGGTGTGAATGTGAGCGCGGATGGTTTTTCGTCTTTGTGTGCCCTGCGATTGGCTGGCAACCGGTCCAGGGTGTACCCCGCCTACTGCCTGAAAACAGCTGGGATAGGCTTCAGCACCCCCCGCGACACTTGTGAGGATTAAGCGAATCAGAAAATGAATGAATAATATGGTAGATGTTGTTGGGTTTTTTTCTTGGAATGTGTTGATTATGGCCGTATCGTGATAGAAGTAGTATAGTTACAATATTAAGTGATACAAGTGGTATAGTTACAAAATATCTTGTATAATGAGTTCCTCACTAGGGGTGGGCAGTATATATAGTCCTTGATATGATGTCATTCATTGCCTTCAAGATGTGCAGTTTTACATCATTGAGTATTAATACCAGGGCTGTTGTAAGTCCGGACTCGACACGTTTTTGTTTTGGGGTTTTTTTTGTCCTGGACATGACTCGGATTCCTTGGCATTTGACTCGGATTTGTCTGGGGTCTTGGCCGTTGGACTAACAAAACATTTTCGACTCGACCGAGTCCAACTATATTTTTATTCCTGAAAGAGAATGTCCTTAAAAGAAATTTGGAATGAAGTTTTACAGATCATCAAAGTAGCCATCTGATTGGTTAACCTGACCGCAAGCGCCAGAGCATGCAGTCTTTTTCTTTCAGTCATGTCAGCCAACGGCGGTGTTATAAAATTGGGTTTTACCAACAATTGAGAACTAGGGTTAGCCACAATGTCAGAAAACATAAAGCAATCTGCAGATTCTGTAGGAAGAGACTTTTGGAGAAATACAGCACCATGTCAAACTATGTCAACTCAGGAGAGTGTTGAGCAGAATTACATTTCTCAAATTTTGTGGTCGTGAAAATAGTATTTTTCCATCTTATGGTTTACTCTTGATCTCATCTGGACTCGGTCTTGACTCGGACCTTTGTGACTTGGACTCAATAAAGGTGGATTTGACTGTCTCAAGCATGGGCCTATTCAAAAACAAACATGTCTATCGATTGCATGAAAAGTACGAATAAGTGATAAAATCCTCACTCAGAGAATCAGCGTGCATAGACTGCAAAGGAAGAGGAAGTGATGCGTCGTCAGTCTGCGAATCGACAGGCAGGAATCAATCACATGACAATGGCAGCAACCCAGGGAACACAGCATTATTTCATATATAGCAGGGGTGTCAAACTCACTTTTGGCGCGGGCCACATTTTAATTACTGAAACTATATGAAGAAGTCAAGAATAACTGTTGATTCAACTCTTGGTTAAGTTACTATCATGAGGGGTTTGGTAACAAGAAAATGCTTAAAATATACCTCTTATTTATTACATATAATTATTTAAAATTTTGGTAGACATTTTAGAAAGGATCATGGAAGTTGACGTTTGAGCTGCTTTCGCGGGCCACATAAAATGATGTGGTGGGCCAGATCTGGCTCCCAGGCCTTGAGTTTGACACCTGTGATATCTAGAGAAGTCTCCTGTCTCAGCGATGTAATTTCACAGCTAGACCCAAGCCCATGTCTCTAGCCTAGAAATAATTTGGGGTTTTATAAGACTGACAATGGAATTTCTGTTCATTTCGCTGTCTTGAGTTGTGAGCATGGTCACGGATCAAATTAGACTCTGATTTCAAGGCACCACTGTATTTGTTTGCGTAGGTGCCGCCTACTGTCAATTTATGGACATGTTGTTCCCGGGCTCGGTGCCTGTAAAGAAAGTGAAATTCGGCGCCAAGTTGGAGCACGAGTATATCCACAACTTCAAGCTCCTCCAGATTGCCTTCAAAAAGATGAACATCGACAAAGTGAGTGACTCTTTCCTTAAGGTACAGTCAATATATGAGGCGAGGCATGCGCTAGAACTGTTTCTCTTTCAGATCATTCCAGTGGACAAGCTGGTGAAAGGCAAGTTCCAAGACAACTTTGAGTTTGTGCAATGGTTCAAGAAGTTCTTCGATGCCAACTACTGTGAGAGCGAGTATGACCCGGTGGAGGCCAGGAAGGGCCAAGATGCGGCACCTCCGCCCAATGCCGCCACGTCGGCACTGAACAAGCCCCCGAAGAAGGCCATCAGTCGGGGTAGGCGCCCCCCCCCCCCCTGCTCATCAAACATGCCGGGTGTTTTTGAGGTTTCTTTCCACTCTCTCATCCTTCCCCGTCCGTCTCATTTCTCTTCAGCTCCTCAGAGGCCTCCAGTTGCCAAAGTCGCCCCGAAGGTGGTGCCCATAACAGGCAGGAAGTCTGCAAGTGCTGCTGCCAACAAGGAGGGGGCGGAGATCCTCTCAGAAGTAAATATAAAAAAAAAAAAAGAAAAAGTCAAAATCTTTGGTGTTACCAGTGTGTGACTAATGATGCTTGTGTGCTGGTGTACAGCTGGAGGAACTGAGGTGTACCGTTCAGGACATAGAGAAGGAGAGAGACTTTTACTTCGGTAAACTGCGGAACATCGAGCTTATTTGCCAGGAGAATGAAGGCCAGGGCGATCCTGCACTGCAGAGGATTGTGGACATTCTCTATGCTGTCGATGTAAGTTTTAGATAAGAAGTAGGGCTGCGCAATACAATGAAAAAAAGATTCCGATAATGGCCCATGCAATATACTTATCGCTAAGATGTTTCATTGAATTATATGCTTGTATCCTACTTCGACCAATCAGATACACCCTTAAATTCACATCAACACCAAATGGGAGAACAGTCTCTAAGGGCACTAAATAATATAATTAAAAGAAAAGAAAAAAGTGTGTGTGTGTGTGTGTGTGTGTGTGTGTGTGTGTGTGTGTGTGTGTGTGTGTGTGTGTGTGTGCGCGCACGCGCGCGTGCGTTCGAGATGCTACTATGAAATTATAACATGGGAAAGAAAAGCTACTGTCACTGATGCACTTTATTGAAACCAGGAGAGTAGTAAAACACAAACGTAGTGAAGACAGGAGCTTCTGTCGGCTACAGCTTACATCCAGGCACTCACAAGCAGATCTATCAATATCACGCGCCACCCCACTACCTACTTTTTGTGTGGATCCGTTGACATTGTGTTTTAAGAAAAGTGCGGGTTAAGTTGTTTCAGTGTGGAAGGAGTAAGACTTTTTTGTAGTGGTGATGGAGCATGAATCAAACACTGAGTGTGAATTTGGCAATTCAGCTCTTTGTTGGAGAACAGCAAATAGTCCAATGTTCTCCGTGTTTTCTCAGTAATGTCTGTCCCCTTCAAGATTGACTCCAGATGTTTTATTAATATTCACTCTGCACTTTCTGGATTTCTCCAGGAGGGATTTGAGATCCCGGATGCCGAAGAACCGGAAGAGTTTTAGCACCAATAGACCACAAGTTGTTTTTTTTCCCCTATCCCCTCCAAACGTCGACGGCGTGGCCGATCTTCGACGTCCTCGCTGGAGTCCTGTGCAAACAGACTGCTGCCGGACTCCCAATTCTTCTGTCAACAAAATCCTCTTCCTCCATGCTGGGAAGTATCTAATGTTTCTTATACACGAGTGCAAGAAAATTCTGTGCATGTGTGTAAGAAAATTCTAAGCACGTGTCTTCTATGTACTGTATGTTTTTTTGTTTTTTAATTATCCTCTTTCAAAAATGTCCTCTGAAGTCCTGACTTTCAGTTAACCAACCAGGTTGCTTGTCTGTCTCTCTCTATCTGCCTTCTATTTTGACATTCCCAACTGGCCCAACTATTCAAAAAAAGAAACAGATAGCAGTTTTGCTTTATGTTGTCCATATTTGATTGGATTTTTACTTTTAGCAAATTCTCTTTTCTCTTATTGGTCCCTTTTGGTGTGGGACTGTCAGTTTGGTCTTCACCCATAGTCAAAAAAGTCTAACCGACAGAGCCATGTTATCTGTCGTGTTGAGTCCAACCAGGTTAAATGTTGTGTGGTCATTGTACTGCATGCGTGCGTGTGTGTGTAGAAAGATATTTGTATCATGACATTATCCTATGAGCATCCTGCCGGGGACTTTCTCCGGGGTTTGGGTGCCGAAATGGTGCAAAAATTTGAGCGCGTCGATCAAGACGGTCCTGCCAAATCCTCGAGACGTGCCCCAGTCTCATGCTTTGAAGGCCTTTAACTGAGTGAATGTTGCACACAATCAGACAGTGCCTGTGTGTTTTTTTTTTTTGTTTTTTTTTTTTTTTGCCTTCTCATTAATAAATAGACTGTTTGCAAATCATTTTTTCCTCATTCTATGTTGGGGGGTGTTTGGAGCGGGAACAATGTCTCTGCAAAGTTTATGCACCCAGTAGTCTTAATTTCATGGCTACTTTGATACCAAAGTACAGTGAGTGCTTGCCAGTCGTGACTCTTCTTACCTTTGTGTCCAAATGTGCCACAAGATGGCGCCAATGCAGTAAGCAACTTGTGTGAAGGACAGTTAATTGAAGTGTGGTCTGATAAAGGTGGCCGACAGAGACAAACGCCCACAAATTGTCGAACGCTGCAAACACAGGAATGTTGCAAAGACAAAACAGATGGAACAATAATTTAAAAAGGAAACAGCATGCAATCAATAAAAACACAAAAAAAAAAATGCAGCAAGTGAGAAATGTAGCAAACAGCCATACGCTCCAAACGGGAATAATGCAAAAAACAACAACAAAAAAAAAACCACACACAAATGAAAGAAATGCTGCAATCACAGCAACAAAGTGTAAGAAAATATTACAAAACCACAAAGCAAATGCAAAACAAAAACGCCGCGGTAATACAAAAGACAACTCAAAAACGAGATTGTTTAAGCCACTCGGGATAATTAAGAGGATCTCGTAGCAGAGGACTGGTCCTGCAGTGCCCCCGAGTGGCCCGAAATTGAATCATTTTGTTGTGGTTTTTGGGTTAGTGTATTTTTGTATTTACGCGGCATTTTGCATTTGTTATGTAGTGATATGTTTGATTCCATTTTATTGGTGTGTTTGTAGCATTTCATTATTGCGTTAAAAAAAAACTTATGTTTGTTTTTTTGTTTGCACCATTCCTGTGTCTGCAGCGTTTTAGCCATTTGCAGCATTTCTTGCTTGTCGCGTTTTGTTTTGCAGTTGTTTTGTGTGGTATTTAGTTTGCTCCTGTGTGTTTGTCTTTTGGGATGTTTGGATTTTTTTCAGCAGCCCGATTTTGGCCCCTGTGGGCCATCGTCATCCTACGACAAAGCGCGTCGATCAGTTGGGTGAACTCCTCTGCACCCTCCAAGACCCCGCAGACCCTCCATATTGCGAATGTAGCCCGGTTTTGAGCCGACAGACATGTCGGAGACAAACGTAGTGTCTCGTAGCCGAATTTGAGTTGTCTTGACGTGTAAGCTTATGTTATATTATTATTATCATTTTATGTTTGAGCATAATTTTATTTCATGTTAAGAATACCTAACTTATATTCTGTTGTTTAATAATTGCTTAGACATGTTTTTCTCTCTCTCTCTCTCGCGCGCGCGCGCGCGCGCGCGCGCGCGCGCGCGCGCGCGCGCGCGCGCGCGCGCGCGCGCGCGCGCGCGCGCGCGCGCGCGCGCGCGCGCGCGCGCGCGCGCGCGCGCGCGCGCGCGCGCGCGCGCGCGCGCGCGCGCGCGCGCGCGCGCGCGCGCGCGCGCGCGCGCGCGCGCGCGCGCGCGCGCGCGCGCACACACACACACACACACACACACACACTGCGCCGATGGACTGAATCTTGAAGCAGCACGCAACGACTAGGCAGTCTGGGCAGCGTGAATCTCGCCCGGTCCAAGACAAAGAACGGTATTTATCTGGTTGTCTGACGGCGAGACTGTTGTGAACGACAAAAAGGCTTGTAATATGACAAAGCCATTAATGTGACACTCTAGTCGTTGAAACACACCCTCCAGTATTCCTCCTTTTCAAGATAAGTCTTTTTTTGTTTTTAATTAAATATGGTCATATTTTGCTATTTAAAAAGGTAATGTGGGCAAACCGTGTGCACAAGGTAGTTGAAAACAATAGCTGCCACACGTTGGGTGGACATGAATTTTCCTTTGTTATGTAATACTGTACAGGTATCTGTTTCTTGTTACAGTCTTTGTGTATTTGAGGGCTGGGTTAGTTGAGTAGGGTGACGTCATAGAGAGGGGACGAGCCAGGTTGGGGGGGAGATCGGCCCAGGCAGTGAGTCTGAGTGTGGAGCGCATGGGCGTGAGTTGTGGCTAGCAGCAGATCCTGTGAATGTCTTCATTGCTGCCTCTTTTTGTTTATTAAACATCGAACAGATTGCATCAGCGACTGCGTGCATCCTTGACCACATTGAAGGGCATTACAGTACATTATATCTGGAGAAACTAGCATTTGAACACGTCTTTTAGCTAGGTGATTTTACTACCTGGGATGGTTGCATTCACTTCTATTAATAATCTACACATTACCAGGAAATGCTTAGAGTAGGAGCGCCATAAAATCTTTTATCTCGATAGCCTCATGCAGGAACAAGAAAAAAAAAAGAAAATGTGTAAGGTTTTGTAGAGTCGGAGCTTTCAGATGGTCAATTGAACGCCCCGCGTGTGTTGATTGGCTGCTGGTCGGGAGTCGCGAACATTGTTACTTTTATTGGACCACTGAAAGTTTTGCAAAGTCGGTGGTTTAGCGAACGCACCACGCTTCTGATTGGCTACTGGCCGGGGGTAAACGGAGGTCAGTGCCACTCATTGTGCTTGTTAAATAAGGGGGAAAAGTAGACTTTGCCACCACCAAGGCTCACTCAAGGACTCGCTCACCACTCCTCCTCTACTTGGCCACCGAAGAACCAGAGGCCCATTTGGAATTTCAATGTAACTTTTAAAAACAAAGTGAAACAACTCAAATGACAAAAAAGGCGGAACCTTGTCGTCATCGTCGCCTTTAACTCGTCTCTGCTATTTTAGCTCGTTAGCTTAGCGACGCCTGCGTCCTCCACGTAACATTTCTGCAGACCACTTCGTCTCTTTCTTTTTTTTTAATTTTTTTTAATCCAAGCATCATCACACTGAAGCCACGCAAAACCAGCAAGGGACACTTTTATTTGCTAACATAACCCCGGGGGAACAAAAACAGACAAACCAGTGGGGTCTTGAGTGTAGCTAAACTAGCGCCTGCTCGCACTCGCAGTGATTCATTCTGTGGTTCTTGTTAGCATCCAACGCGTCATCTGAATATGATTCCCGACAAGGCGCCCGAGGACGACGTCTTTCACGGGGGTGAGGAGATGCGCAGGGGGGCTCACGTTCCCACCTTTGAGAAGTTCAAGGAAATGTACATGCAATCCATCGAGGACCCTGACAGTAAGTGTGACGCGTTCGCCAACTAGTCGCTCGTCAACGTTCAATCGATTGTGTGCAATTGATTAATTATGTGTTGAAGCAATTCCTGCACTACCACTGCAATCACTGATAATTCATGAAACATTAAAGTACTAATTAGTGCAAGGGGCACTGGCAAGAAAAAACACGTAAAATGATTTATGTGATGCAAAAGTCATTGGATAACACTGAAAATGAACATTTAAAAAGAACATAATATGAAAAATCTTAAAGGGCAGAAATAGTGATTCGCACGTCTGTCTCACACCTCAGAGATGCAGGGTTCGAATCTGCTCTGCCCTTCCTGTGTGGAGTTTGTGTGTTCTCACTTTGCTTCCGTGGTTACTCCAGCTTCCCCTGCATTACAAAGAACATGCATGTTGTGTTCATTAATTTAAAAAGACAAATAAACAATTGAGTAGTGCCCAATGATACTTATTATGGTACCTCCCACATTCTTTTAAAACACTATTAACTCCACCTACTAGCTCCTTGGCATGCATAAGAATTGTCTCATGGGCCCACAGAGTTCTGGGGCGATATGACCAAGGACTTCTTCTGGAAGACCAAACATACGGGCCGATTCTTGGACTACAACTTTGACGTGACCAAAGGTGAGATTTTCATCAAGTGCATGGAGGGAGCATCCACCAACATCTGCTACAACGTCCTCGACCGCAACGTACACGACAGGAGGCTGGGCGACAAAGTGGCCTTCTACTGGTCAGTATGATCCTGACAACCCAGCAATTGAAACCTTGTTCTGTATAAGATCGATCGTTAGGTATTGAAAAGTTGTTAAAGTGTAATAGCGGAAACATTATGCACTTTCGGGTTTTAAGGGTTCCCAAGTGTACTAATAAAAGCACACTGACATTCTTGTGTCAAAATACACAAAGTATGAAGAAGCACAGACCACTTAACATACAATAAGTTGTCACACATGACTTGAAATTACTGTGTTTGGAGTTAGGGGGGCATTTTTGTCTCGTGTAATTGCTGATGATTGTTTTCGTTACAATGACGACTGCAACTACGTTATTGGAGTGGATACTCCGTGACTCAGCCTTGGAAAAAGTACTCCTGAAAATTTGCATAAAATTAATCCGGATATTAGTTGACAACATTGAACGAAGACGCGTTTGAGTTCGTTGTATTGCTTTTACGAGCGTAGCCATATTGAGGCACAAACACTAGTAACAGTAAAGAGATTTTTGTTTGTGTAATAACGACAGAAGACATGATGGCGTTTGACTAATGGTTTAGTAGAACAAATGGCAACTCGCAACAACAGTAGCAAGCGTCATTTTGCCTCTTGGGTTATACCATCTCAACTAGAACGTGGGGGATAGTCCCCAAACAATTTTCGTCTCTTTAGAAACACACCTGCTAAACCCCAGTGGAACGAATAAAAGACGCCGTGGACAAGACAGTTGTCGTAAAAAATATATTTGGCCAAAAAGGGAAAAACACAGATTGGCAGAAAATCGTGTCCGTCCGACTTCGAGTATCGTCTCGGCTAACTTAGCTTAGCTGTTGTCGTGTGTGACGTCATTTGCGTCAGCGCTGATTGGTTGAAATCAAAAGACGCGCTTGCATACATGTTCGCGCTGAAGCACGCACAGCAGAGAGCGGCGGACTTATCTACTGCTGAGGTCGCTTAGCTTGAGTGGAGTCGCCACAACAGTAATACCCTCGCCTCGCATTCTCATGGCCT